GGGGGCCCGCTCAGGTCAAAAAGCATTTCAAACTAATCAGTTCGCTCACTCTCACACTGGCTGAAATGCAAGTGGCTGCTCTACATTGTAGGTGCGTCCCCGTCGCGAGAGCATCCAGCAGGGCGCTCTCGAAAAGAAAACATCCAAGGAACACCGACATGTGAAGGTTTAATATCCAAGCTGTTCCCAGAAAGAAGACTCGACAGCTCGGTGTCCTTATTTGAAAAGTAGGAATAGCGAAGGCCTGTCTGCCAAGGTTCGTTTTCGGCCTCGCTCCTAATTTCTAGCTTTTTCCTAAGTTTACATTTTATTTGAGCCTCTTAATTATTGGATTTTTAAAAAGCAGTAATTCCTTCCCCTGCCCCCATAGGGCCAATATATGTTCACTGTGACGCATTTGTACTACCCTCAGCCACCCAATTAACTTGGTCCCTTACTTTTTATTTTGCTTTCTCTTTTCCTATCTATAGACTTGAATCACTTTATTTCCAATCCTCTTTGGTTTATAAATGAGTGTAGTGTACATTTTCATGCTTGAGGAGCCTGACAGCAATGTGAACTGAGGAAAAGAAATACTGGGGCAAAAACCCGTTTTGGGAAACTTTAGCAGGTTGCCTGGCGTCGGAGAGGAGGATCTGGGGAAAGATAACAGGACGCTCAGGGACAATTCTTGGATTTGCTTTCTCAGTGATGAGATAAGGTGATCAAAGGCAAGAACAGAGGTCAATACAACTGCTTTATAAGCATTTCTAAGTTCATAAGAAATTCTAGTAGTTTCCTTATATTTAGGCTGGGGATACTAAATTTTAGAAAAATGATATTGCTTATTTTGGACACCAGCAACACAGTTTTACTAGAACAAAAATTAGATTTGTTTAGAGGTAAGATTTGTTTACCATTTTCAGTAAAGTTTAATGTAATTGAAATAAAATTTATGGTAATAAACCATCAAATGTTTTGTAAAAATATGGTTTGCTTGTTAATACCAATTATTTTCAAAGCCAATGGACTCTAAATACTATAGTAACTTGATACTATCATCCATTTTAAAAGTACATTTACAAAACTTTTAACTATTAGACATTTTATATCATCCCTATTTCTCCTTTACCTAATATTCCCATCCTACTATACCAACAAAATTTTATCTTAATGTTTTGTGCTTGAAAGTCCATTCTTGAATCTTTCATATTTCCTGTCATCAAAAATGTATGTACTGACCTGGCTGGGTGGCTCGGCTCAGTTGGTTAGAACATCAATCTATAGACCAAAAGGCTGAGAGTTCGATTCCTGGTTAGTGCACATAACTAGGCAGTCTGTCTCTCTCTCTCTTAGTCAATTAATAAAAGCATACCCTTGGGTGAGGATAAAAAAAAAGAAAAATATGTGCAAATTAACTTTTAGGTATCCTTCTGTTTATTCTTTTATGTCAGATTCATTGAGGTGTAATTTGCATGTAGTAAAATTCACTTTCAAGTATACAGTTCTATGAATTGTGAAAAATCGTCATGTCCACCATAATCAAGACACTAACCGTTTCCATCACTCAAAGTATTCCTAGTACCTCTGTGTAGTGATTCCTCCTCACACAGCCCCGGGCAACCACTGGTCAGTTTTCTGTCCCGTAGTTCCGTATTTTCCAAACTGTCATATAAATGTAATCATACATTATGTAACCTTGATTGGGCTTCTCTCAACTTAGCATAATGCCTTTCAGATTCACCCATGTTGTTGCATGTACCAGTCATTTGTTCCTTTTTGTTGCTAAGTCACATGTATTGCATGTATCTCCCAACATTTATTTATCCGTTTATCAGCTGAAAACGTCCAGGTTGTTTCCTTTGGTGATTATGAGAAAAGCTGCTACTAACTTGCATGTGTATGTTTTTTGGGTGACACAAGTTTTCATATGATCCAGCAATTCCACTCCTGGGTACTTATCCGGAGGAAACAAAATCACTATCTTGAAAAAATGTCTGCACTTGTATGTTCACGGAGCCATTACTTACAATAGCAAAGACATGCAAACCTGTGTTCATCAACAGATGATGGATAAAAAAATATACATACACAATGGAATATTACTTAGCCATACAAACGAAAATCCTGCCATTTAAGACATGGATGGACCTTGTGTGCATTATATATACGTGAAATAATTCAAACAGAGGAAGACAAATACTAGTACTGTATGACCTCACTTGTGGAACCTAAAAATAAAAAAACAAACTCATAGGTACGGAGAACAGATTGGTGGTTCTCAGAGTCGGGAGATTGGGGGAGAGGGGGAGGAATAGGTGAAGATGGTCAAAAGATACAAACTTCCCAACTTATATGTCCTGGGGATGTAATGGACAGCATACTGACTATACTAAACAGGGCTGTATTGTATATCTGAAAGTTGCTAAGAGAGATCTTAAAAATTCTCATCACAGCCCTAACCGGTTTGGCTTAGTGGATAGAGCGTCGGCCTGCGGACTGAAAGGTCCCAGGTTCGATTCTGGTCAAGGGCATGTACCTTGGTTGCGGGCACATCTCCAGTAGGGGGCGTGCAGGAGGCAGCTGATCAATGTTTCTCTCTCATCGATGTTTCTAACTCTCTATCCCTCTCCCTTCCTCTCTGTAAAAAATCAATAAAAAAAAAATTCTCATGACAAAAGATATTTTGTAGCTGTGTGGTAATGGATGTTAACTAAACTTATGGTAATCGTCACTATACACACACACACACACACATACACACACACACACACACACACACACTGAGTGGCCAGATTATTATGACCACCTGACATTTGTAGGCAAATTAGCCGTACACTGCATCGTATGGGATATGGAAGCCGAAGGCCTGTTCGAACACCTTTGCTGTCTGCAGTTACCAAGATAAAACGTCTCCAGTTCGCACAGGAACACAAGGATTGGACAGTCGAGCATTGGAAAAAAAGTCATGTGGTCCGATGAATCACGTTTCCAGTTGCATCATGCAGATGGCAGAGTGAGAATTTGGCAGAAACAGCATGAAAGCATGCACCCCACATGCATGAGTACAACCCTTCAAGCTGGTGGGGGCAGTGTTATAGTTTGGGGCATGTTTTCCTGGCATGATTTGGGCCCTTTAATTCGTGTGGAACAACGTCTGAATAGCACAGTATACCTTAAGTATCGTTGCTGATCAAGTTCATCTTATCATATTGATACGTATCCCAATGGAGATGGCTTCTTCCAACCAGACGATGCGCCATGCTACGGTGCTCGTATTGTGCAGGAGTGGTTTCAAGAACATGAGGGAGACTTTACCTTGCTTAGGAGGCCCCCACAATCACCAGATCTCGATCCAATTGAGCATTTGTGGGACGAAGTTAAAGGAGCCATCAGGCAGCTGGTGCCACAACCATCAAATCTCACAGAACTGGACAGTGCTATTCATCAGGCATGGTGTCAGATTCCCCGCATCACCTTTCAACATCTCGTGGAGTCAATGCCAAGAAGAATCGCCACAGTATTGAAGGCAAAATGTGGCCCAACGAAGTACTGATGGGGTGGTCATAATAATCTGGCCACTCACGTTCAAATATATCCCATGTTCAAAGGCTGTTAAATCTCATTGTTTACCAATTTCTTAAAAAAAAAAAAAATCACTTCTACTGTCGTGGTCAACAACCTGCTTCCCTATTTATAATGGTCTGGCCCTCTAGCAACTTCAGCACAAAATTATAGCTAATTTGCCTACAAACCTCAAGTGTCATAATAATCTGGCCACTCAGTATACATATATATATATATCCAGGTGCACAAAATTCTGCATTCTGCACTGGGGGGTGGGGGAGGGCGGCTCAGCCCGGCCTGCACCCTCAGTCCGGGAGCCCTTGGGGGATGTCTGATGGCTTAGGCACTGCCACAGAGGCGGGAGAGGCTCCAGCCACTACCCTGCACTCGCCAGCCTTGAGCCTGGCTTCTGGCTGAGCAGTGTTCCCTCTGTGGGAGCACACTACCAGGGGACAGCTTCTGTGTTGAGCGTCTGCCCCCTGGTGGTCAGTGTGCATCATAGCGACCGGTCGTTCCGCCATTCGGTTGATTTGCGTATTAGGCTTTTATTATATAAGATGTTGTACAATGTCAATTATATATCAATTAAAACTCAATATTGGTCATTAAGAGGTTTGGTTCTTGGGTTCTGATTATACTATCACACACTCACTCATTCATTTAGCCAAAGTCTGCCATCTATCCATCCATTCAAATATTCAACAAATGTTTAGTCTGTGTCTACTATATGTCAAGTACTGTGAAAAGCACTGAGTGTACAGTCATGAATAAGACAAGCATGGTCTCTGCCCTCAGAGCTTATGATCCCATGGGTAAAGCAGACCTAGAACAAGTAATTGTCAAGTGTAAATACTAGTAAAAAAAAATTCAGGGAGCTATACGAGTGTGTCACAAGAGATCTTAAACCTCTGTGGTGTGTGTGTTTAGGGGCTCAATAATTTGGTCCTAAATAAATTATACTGCATCTATATGTTAGAATAAGAAAGTCCTTAAAAATGTTTTGGAAGATTCTTTAATGACATGGAAAGAGAATCATGGTATAGTAAATGAAAAAAAAAAAAGGTTACAAAATGGTATGTACAGTATAACTCCATTCTTATTATTATATAATGTGTATCTGCAAAGAAAAATGACCCAACAGTTAACAATTATCTGAGTGTACAGCATTAAGGGGGAGGGGGGGTGTTTACTTTGTGCTTTCCCTACTTCCCTTCCCCTCCCCCAGATTTTCTGTAATACACACATCTTGCTTTTCACTAAGAAAAAGAATTTAAAAATTCATCAAGATGTTATTTTTGCCTAATAATTTGGCAAATGTTATTTCAAAGGACAATACACAGTATTGGTAAGGATTTGGGGTAAATCAACATTCACAAAATGTACCCTGCTAATGGTAGTATCATTTGCTACTAACGGCATCATTATAAACTCGGCAAAACAAAATCCTTAAAAACACAGGAAGTATTTTCACTTCTAGGGATTAAGAAAATCATTAGGGATAAATGCAAAAAAATGCATATATAAACCCAAATGTCTATTTTTAAGTACATGGTTAAATAAGTTACTACATCAGTATGAGCCAATACTAAATTATTAATATTAAAAATCACATTGCAGGATACTCATTGACATAGGTCAGTATTATCAAGGGCAGAAGAGTAAATATTATGCCCCATATAATACTGATTTAATATGAAAATGTATTAGTTTCCTAGGGCTACCATGACATATGCCCATAAACTGGGTGGCTTAAAACAGAAACTTAGTCTCTCACAGTTATGGAGGCTAGCTGGCAGGGTGGCTGCTTCTGGAGGCTCCGAAAGAGGATCTGTTCCACGCCTCTCCCAGCATCTGGTGGTTGCTGGCAAGCCTGGGTGTTCCTTGGCTTGTAGCCGCATCACTCCAATCTCTTTTGGTTGTCTCATAACCTTCGTCACTGTGAGTCTCTGTGTGTCTTCTCTTAGGAGAATGCCAGTCACTGGATTAAGGGCCCATCCTAATCTATCATGATAGCATCTTAACTAATTACATCTCTCAAGACTATTTTCAAAGAAGGTCATGTTCTGAGGTTTTTCGTTGACATAAATTTTTATAGGGCACCAATCAGCCCACTACATGTATAGAACATACATATAAAAAAGACTGACAATCTATACCCACAGTATTTTTATCCCAGGGCGGGTTTAATGAATGACATAAATATTTTTCTGTTTTCCTGCACTTAAAAATAAATAGCTTATGTACTGTAGTTACATTTATGTAGGGATTAAGGTCTCAATTTATTGTATAAGGTGAAGATTACCTGTAGTCAAATTTCACTCTTTTCCCTCCTAGAGCTCACAAAATACAGAACACATAAGTGTATAGTGTATCTTCTCTCAAAAACATCCAACACGGCCACTTCTTCCTCCAGCATCGGAGTGGATTACTGGTCTTCTGGGTGAGCACTAGATGAAGTAGTTGGCTTGTATTTACATGCTATATTGTACGAAAAAAGAAAAAGAGGTTTTCTAAGCATACAAGTATAGTTGAAAGTGTTCAAGTTAAATGAGTGTATCATGAGATTCCACTGTTGAATTTTTTCATCTTTACAAAAACACTACCAACAACGGCAATAAACTGAGAGTCATAAGACTACATAAAAAATAATTACTGATTTCCAAATGAACCCCTTTACAAGGTTAGGTATATCTGAGTCCTTCGGGATTAAAGGTCCAGGGGAAGAAAACTTAAGGAAATAATAATGTTGTGGATATAATTATTGCCAAATTCTGTCCTTTAAAAATTCTTCCCAAGTATACTTTCTTTTTAAAGATTTAGGATTGTGGTTGCTTTCATAACTTTGAAGATAAATGAGCTATATAAAATTCAATCAAAAAAAGAAGTCTTGTCATGTACAGAGGCTGACATCGTGGGTAGTCAAAGAATATGTTTAATAAAAAATAATTAAACTTCCATTTGCTCTATAGAACATCATAGAAAGTAATTTAATAAATTACAAATGACTTTTTAAGACGTTTGCTCAACTACAGAAAGCAAATTCAGACTACACAAAACACAACTGGTAAATATTGCAAATGTCCAAAAGAAAAGTTGGACTAAGACTTGTATCATGAAACCTGAAACAAGGACTATAAATACAAGGCAATAACAGCTATAATTCTTTTAGTAACTACCAACACATACTTGGATATTCTTTCAACGGCAACTTTAGTATTATGTAATTCTACTGATATTTTTCCTTATAACCCTTAACTCTCTACAACCATATTTGCATGTTTGTTTGTTTTTTAAAAAACCTGATAGCTGGATAACTTTCCCCCAATCAATAATAAATAGAAGTGTCTCGAAACCCAAGAGAATGTTTAAAGTTAATATCAGCCTTAATATTTTTAAAACTGCATTTACCTTATTACATAGAAAGGGAATCACTAAGATGTTAACCAAATTCATTTGAGCATTAATTAGGAAAATACTTTATCTCATAAATTTGATATAAATTAGATTTTAGTGACAAGATCTAGGGCTTTCCCCACCTTTTTCTTATCTTTCTTTCTTTTTTTTAATTGGGGAAAAGAATAAAGATCATGTGGGTAGAAGTAGAGTGAGGGAAGGGAGCTATGGATGGTGATGAAATACTCCATCGGCAACCTAAGTGTACTGTGTTTGAAAAACTTTGGCTATCTCAAAGGTGTACTCTGGTTAAACAAAAGTGCAATACTGCAAAGGGAAGAGACTAAATGTATAATATATCGTTTTCATGATGAAAAATTACTGCCCACTTCTCCTGGAGGGGCAATTAGAGTGACTATTGCTAAGACATTGCATAAAGGACTAGCAATTCAAAGTACTACTTTGGAAAAATACAAAGATCAATACCATCCCAATGGAACTTCCATAACTTTTGTAAGTACATATAACACTGTCTCTCTAATAAGGGGCTAGTTATTTTACATACAGAAACATAATTTACTGTTAAATGTCTTGTAAAATCCAATATAATTGCTTAATTCATGACAAAGCAATAGATTTCTATCATCAAAACATACTGAAAGTTTTTTTTCCAGTGAAAGTGGAGTACATTTTCCACCCTAACTGTATCCCCTTGCAAACTTTATCACTGACTTATTCAAGTACCAGAAGAATGCTAACATTTATCTCTCCTTAGGATATAAGTGGTATTTTACATCCAATTCAGTTGTTTTATATGTATTTGCAGATAAACCTGGACCTCTACCTTGTCAGAATAATAGCAGCTTTAGAAGGAGATATTGTATCACAAATCAAATATCAGACAAATTTTACATGGTAAATAAAGGGCTCTAAGAAACTGAGCAGAAGCCTTGGGCTTCATTTTGTGGTTTACAGGTATAGCTCGTGTATTTTTTTGAGATTATTCAAAGTGCATTTTCAAAATGGGCGACTCAGTATATTTAATATAAACTGAACACCCAACACTGATTCTGGGCAACATTTTGTCTGCTTACACCTAGAAGAAACTCAAGATGAATTTAGACTGTTTGCATATGTTATCTGTTCATTTTGAAATATTACCATAACGTAAAACACAACTAGAAATCTACACAAATAAAGCAAACGAACAATCCTTTTACATGCAGTATGCTGTGCTGAAAGTTCTTTTCAGTGGCATTTCATGAGTTTGCCTTTTCAGAACCCTGGGAAGCAGACATTACTCATCTGAGATATAATTATTTCTAATGGGAGGCCAGACTTCGTGAAGTTAAAACTAAGTATGTCTAGACGGTGCCAAAGTCACATGACACAGGATTATTTTATGACTTGACTTTACTAATATCAGAGTTAAGTTCAGCGAAAAGCAAGTCATATTTCTTGCCAGATTAACATGATATAGAGGACGTGTTTAAAAAACCCCTGAAAACAAGTATAGAATTAGAAACGAATGTAAACTTCCTAAACTAACTCAGCTGAGGTAACAGGTAGCCAGTTAAATTGGCTGATTGGGAAACTTATTTCTTTTTCCAAACACACTTGTACCTGAATTGGAAACATCAGCAGTGCATCAAAACACTAGAGCATTTTCATGTAATTAAAGCAATGAATGGTGATGTAGATTCTACAGCTTTCATGACATTCATTAGCTGCCCAAATTATTGCTGAGTTTTGATCTGTAAATTATAGGTGTCAAGGAGGCTGTAAAACTATATTCAAATTAAATCAGTAATATGCATAAAGTATTCTGTGTTCACTGCAAATATATTAAATATACAACTCTTATTGAGCATAATTTTCATAAAATTAACCCCCAACAAAATTATAATGCCTTTTGTTGTAATTTTACACCTTTATGTAGTTGATAGTACATACGAGTTCAAAAACTTATGAACCTTAAGAAATATTACATGCAAAATGTCTCTGATAGCAGTTTGCACTTCTAAACAAATAACTGAAATGTTCGGTCAGTAAGTTATGGATGCACTCCACACTGGGGTATTTACAATGAATGATTAAAGAAAAAAAAATCCAAAACAAGTTCATAATTTAAGCATCGTCTAGGAATCAGTCTTCGTTACTAGAATCTGAGTCCTCGGATGACGACGAGGTACTGTCAGATCCAGAGGAAGCATCGGCTTTCTCTGAACCCTCATCTGTGCTGTTTTCATTGAGAGGACTCGGCTCGGTTCCCCCTTTGTCTTCCTGATCGCTAACTCTGGAATCTTCTTCCTTTCCTTCCACAGACTTAGACGAGCCTAAGTCACTGCTCTTGCTTTTCTGTACATCAAAAGTATTGGACTGGGACAAAGCTGGAATATGAAGATTAAGGCCTGGAGTGAGAAGCCCTGGATAGAGTATATTAGATAGTAGCAGTGGGTTAAGAGCTAGGGAGTTGGCAGCTGCAGCTGCATTTAATGCAGCAGTAGAGGATGTTGAAGGAGAACTTGACACAGAGTTTTCTCCACCATTCTCTGAATTTTGGCTCTCTGTCCTTTCTTTTTTTCCTTCTAGCTCCTTACAGTCATTTCCCTTTTTCTCTTCTGTTCCAGATTCTGCAGGCTTTGTCAAGAGTCCGCCCATGCCCAACAGATTTGGTAATCCAGGCATTCCTGACAGCAGCATGGGGAACATGGCGGCCACGTTTTTAGCTTCTCCTCCAGAAGAAAGGCCGGCAGGCATTCCCATCAGCCCTGCGGTTACTTGCAGTGACTGCAAGTTTTGTAGGTTTTGTTGTAAGGCCTGAAGAGTTGTGAGATCCATACCTGGAAGTAATCCATTGGCTAACAAAGGACTGCCTGCAACACTGGTGGCATTGGCAGCCGCCGCCGCGGCTGTGGCCTTCGCAATTCCACTTTTAGGCCGTCTCCCTCGCCTGCTTACTTCCTCTCTCACAACAGGGCCAGTGAGAATACGTTCGTACATACTTTCTGGAAGAAATCCCTGAAAAAGAAAATCATTAATAACAGCTATATTAAAATCAATAGCTATTATCTTGTGATACAAGTAACCTATTAAAAATAGATAATTATTAAGAAACTTTGTATGCATAGCAAAATCAATCATGCAAGAGATCCCCTAATTTCTTACTATTTTTAGTGGTTTGAAACAGCTCTTCCACCTCTCATTTATCATAAGAGAGTATAGAGGCTTCTAGCTTTCCTCCATATGGGGACACATTCATTTGTAGAATAATTCTAGAAAATGGAAAGTCCAAAGAAATTGTTTCTTAAGGGTTACTCCCTACACCCTTACATGTTTTATATCAGGAACTGTTCTGGAAGACTAAAGAAGTGCCCTTCTTCTAATCTGGAATAACAATAAGGAAAGGACAGAGGAAGTGAGTGGGAGGTTAAGGTTAAAGAGATGCTTCATATGAATTTTTTTTACTATCTCTTTGGGAATTAGGGGCACAGCAAAGCTGAAAAAGATACTCAACAGGGGGAAAATCCCTTGGCTCAAAACTGCAGCAGCACCTGCAGACTAGGAAGCGTCAAGTCCAGGACAATGGAGAATAATCTATACTACTTTCTTATTATTCTCCGTGACTTTCTCGGACTCAAAAATCCTAGAAGTTTTAGGAGTTTAGAACCTCCAGACCAGCATTGTCCAACAGAAAGATAATTTAAGCTACATAGAAAAAGAACATCGCATCTGCAACTCCACCATTCAGAGAGAGCCACTGCAAATGTTTCAGGATGTGTGCTTCCATTTTTCTTTTGTACATAAATACAAATTCTACAATTCTCCCCACCTCCTTTTCTAAAATAAAATGGAATCACACTGAACATAGTTGTATAACCTGTACCTTTCGTTTGGACACCTACAGAAATAATAGCTATTATTCACTCAGCACTGACCTCGTGGTTAGGCCTGGCTATTCCAAGAGATGAACTACTATCTCATTTAACAGACTGTGAACTTTCTCTGCCTTCTCATTAGATGTGCCTCTAAGATACAATTTTTCAAATATTTGCATGGTTTTCTAACATATGGGTAAACTATTAGCATATTCCCTATTTTATAATACTATATTATGACTTTTATGTAGTTCTTTCCCCACATCTGTGATTATTCTTTGTGGCATTGTTCAGAGATATAATTAAATGGCATCTAACTTTTTAAATGATATCTGAGTTAGTGTTTATGAAATACTCACAGATTGTTTAACAACATCTCCCCATTCAGGAGCGACTCCATATTCTGAATTTTCTTTCAGGAATCTACACAAATCTTTCAGAGGAGGAGCAAATGCACCTCCAACCTGTAAACAAAAGGACTCACAGTGATAAATATTATAAATCTGTCACGGTTGTGAAGAGAGAGTTGTCCTGTTTCATCATGGTTTCTCCACCTTTGCACTACAGACAGTTTGGAATTGTGGTGTGGAGGGTGGTCCTGTGTACTGTACACAGTTTATCAGCATCCTCAGCCTCTACCCACTAGAGGTCAACAGCATCCTCCCACTGCCCTCTCCCGCTACCGCCCCAACACCCACCTCACTACTCTTGAGTGGCTATCAAAAATGTCTCCAGACATCACCAAGTATCCCGGAGGACAAAACCGCCCCCTGTGGAGAACCACTGCCGTGGATGTAGTGTTCTGGGCAGTGCCAATGCTCAGGCACAGCTAGTAAAGTGCTGTCTTTATTCATTCAACAGCTTAACCAAAGATATAAAATTACAGTCCACGCCTTTCCCCACAAATCGGCTAGGTTTAACCCATTTCCAGACCTGTTAGAAAATACTGCATAATGAACAGTGTTTTAGAGATCGCTTAAATATTGAATCCATAGAAAAGAGGAGCAAAGATATAAATACCTTTCTGGCATTTCTTCTGTTAATCAGCTGGACACGTTCTTCCCCAGTGAGACTGTTGACGTCTAGTTTATTGGGGTTTCTACAGCGATGCCTTTTTTGTTTGGGCCTCCCTTCATGGAGCTGCATTCTCTAAAACAAAAGACGCAGAAAGAGCCTTAAAATCTTCACTTGTGCCAACAGTACAATGAGCTGATTAAGTAATTTAATCTGGTAATAATGAAGATATGTCACCTATTGTAACATATCTTACAGGTTATATCTTCAATATTTCATATAGGAGAATTTACCCATTAGTTAAACTCTAAAAATATGTAACCTTTAAATATCCTTATATTTAATATAACAATATTAAATACGACTTTAAAAATTATTGCACGAATCTTTTCCTCCAATGATAAATTTAAACATTATTCTAGGCCATCATAAAGGTTAATGCATCATGATCATTCTGGATGAGAGTAGGCTCCCGACATAAAGACATTGCTAGTTCATTCTTTAATGCCTTCAAAGACCACTGTGTCCCTAGAGCACTGCTTAAAGAAGTTACCAATAATGCTGGGACAGCTTCCTCTAAATTGTAGAGTTCTTCACTTCTTTTCCGGGCAAATTTCACCCAAAACATCAGATTTTCTCTGGGCTCTGACTCAATTTATATGTGCGCCAGGTGGGCTAGTGGCTTTCATTTCTCGTCATCTCACCGACAGACTTTATCATCTCTTCTCATATAATTGTCACAATACTCAAAGACATCACTCTTATTTTACAAATGAGACTTCAGGCTCAGAGTTCATCTCCCTCAAGGTCCTGCAGCCTGAGTGGCAATATCTTGCAATAACAACTTTTTTGGAGACCCTTTCCCCCTTCCCACGTGGGAGTCCGTTCTGGGGGACTCTTTCCCCCTTCTCCCATAAGGGAGTCTGTACTTGTTCTTCAAAAAATCTCCACCTTTGCTATAAAAAAACAAAACAACTCTTTCCATCAAACCATGCTGCTTAGTTTAACAACTGTCAACAAAACAGGGCTGGATGTTTGTAGCTCCTTCCAGCCAATCAGAACACTTAAAGGGACTAATGCTCAAACTCTTCAGCGTGGCATACCAATCCCATCACAGCCAGAATCTAATTCAACCTTTTCATCCAGTTACTATTCCCCCCCAAATTCCCTCACAAATTCAGAATATCAAACTGGTCATTATTTTATGAATATGCCTTACACTCCTATTCTCATTTAACTCTCTTCATAATTGTTTTATAATGCCTAGAATATGCTCCTCTGTAATAACGTGGTCAAATGCCCAGTAATTTGTTTATGATCCGTCAGTGACATGTCAACTCTATTTTCCTTCTGTCTTTCCCCAGATACTTTACTCTGCCTATACAGAGTAATCATTCTTTTATCTGCTTCCCTGGCATTTTATACATACCCCTGTTACAGTATATATACACCATGTTAAAATTATTTAGCTATAGATATATCACACTATCACATGTGATCACTAAATCGTTAAAGTATCCTAGGAAAGTTAAACTAGTTATTATTTCATATTCTTTATTGTAATAAAAGCTGCTTTAAAAAGTGTTAAAATCTTAACAAAATTATACAAAACATTATAATATAAAGTTCATTTGCAGTGAAAAATAATAAATGGATACAAGTTTAAACAATAAAGATTCCTTTGCCACAATAAGAGAAAGGTATGAGAATCTTTTAAAATAGCAACCAGCACACAATAGTTTTAATAAAAATTTACTGACAATACATATTATTTTGTAACCTGTAAAGTTATAGCGCTAAACTAACAATTCTCATTATTTTTTTAATTGAAATGTTCATTCCATGACTGCTCACCAGATTAGTGAAAACCCCTCTCCTCAGAATTATAAGAGCTTTATTTGGCCTTTTGTTTAAAATCAAAAGGAATTAAATGAAAGCTCAAGAATTTGTGGTATCCTTTGAGAAAAACGAGAGATCTGACAGAAATTCAACAACTAAGACCGAGGGCCTCTGTTCCAGACTAGCAGGTCATTTAATGGTGACAGTAATAGAAATGTAAAATTTTGAACTAAATATATATTACAGATACAAATACATTAAAATATGCATTACAGACACAGCCCCATTCTAGGCACTGGAGTTTTTATACTTCCTTTTCATTAAACAAAAAAACAAGGTAATTTTCTTTTTCTTAATGAAATAATAATCACTGTGCATATAGACTTCAGATTTTCATTTCTTAATCAGTGACTCAATAAATATATACAGGGAGCCAGATACTCTTCTATGTATCAGGAATGATGTGCTAAGTGCTCGGGATACAAAAGTGAATAGGACACAGTCCTTAAGAAGCTCACAGGGTAGTAGAGAGCCTCAATGTCTTATCCATTTACTATTCATAATGGAGGCAGATGGAGCAGGCCTGCTAGGGTCACTGTATGAAGGATATGCTTTACTCTTTTTCTTAATAAAGTACAGAGAAATGTCAAGGGGGATGGGCACAAAATTTGGTACATCAGTATCTGTAAGTAACATATTGCAAAATGAAACAATATGTTTCTATGAGTGAGAAGAGCCAAATGCTCATAAGGTAGTGAGCAGTATTTCAGGGATATGCAAAAAGGAAATGAAATATAACGATTCTGCCCTAGCCGGTTTGGCTCAGTGGATAGAGCATCGGCCTGCAGACTGAAGGGTCCCGGGTTCGATTCTGGTCAAGGGCACATGCCCAGGTTGCGGGCAAATAAAAAAAGAAATATAATGATTTTCATCTTTGATTAATATAACTAATTGTGCATCTGGAGAGACACAGCTGTATCCTTATAACTTGAAGAAGAGCTTAAGACTAGTAGTTTATTTATTTGTTTATTTTTTATTAAATCTTTATGTTGAAAGTATTACATATATCCTTTTTCTTCCATTGACCTCTTGTAGCCCGCCCAAAAGTACTAGTTTAGATACTGAATTTAAGACTTATTAGTTATGAGGCGTTAGACAATGTACTTGAAATTTCTTTATCTATAAAATAGTCATAACAATGCCATTTTGATAAAGTTGTGTTAAATGATATAATACATGTTAAGTGCTAAGTGTAAAGACAAGCACAGCTAAATCTCAATAAATGTTAGCAATGACCATTATTATTATTTTAAAACAAGCCCCTTGAGGGGAAGGACGCGAAGTTTTTTGTCTCTACAGCCTGTACTGAGTCTAGCAGTACTCTGTGTTATCAAAGGTGATTTTTCTTGTTAAATACTTGTGGAACACAGAACGGAAAAATGAAAAATGACACTGGATTGTATCATGGGGAAGGTCGTAATTACTTCTTTCTGTGAATTTTCCTCTAAGTCTTGGGCAGAATACATATTTAATGTAAGTGGGTGAGAATTTAAGCTTCATCATTATAGGTTTGGTAAATCATAGAAATAACATATACCAAGATTTGCAAAGGATCACCTACAGGTATAAAAGCTCCTAAATCTTCCACATAACCTGGGTGCTCCTTAAGCCATTTTTCTAAATCCTTTCTCTTCGGTGCATCATCACCAGCAAGTCTTGTTCCATCTTTCAGGTGAATGACTGGGACTGGACTTTCTGTGTCAGGAATGCCTTGAGGCTGAGGATAGGACAGTGCTGGGTTTATCCCTGGAGTAATTTGGGAGGTGGTTAAGCCCAAAGTGACCTGGAGAAAACACCAAATGAAAATGTTATTTCCATGCTTATTATTCTAATTTTGTTCTAACAAAAGATTTCCTTTTGAACAATAAAAAAATAAGTTGTTGTTTAAACATCTAAAAAAATCTTTCAAATTTAAGATTTTCATGAATCTTGGCCAGTGTGGAATTCTACTGAGATACAATCTAAAACTATGTAGTGTACTTATAATTTCCTAATTATTAGTCTACAAAACATTCACAAAACAGTAATATATAAGTTTCTTTGGTTGAATTTTGCCCTCAAGGATCATTAGTTTTTAAGTGTATTTTTACTTACGTGATTGGGTGGTTTATTTTTGTTAAAAAAGAGGATGTCAACACCTTCTACATTCTTCCTCCTTCCCCGCCTTTTTTTGACTATAGGCTGGTTGTCTAATATAACTCCATTGGCACCAGCAGCAGATTGACTGGAAGTACCTAATCAAATTTAAAATGAAAAATAGTGATAAAAATCTTGTTCTTAAACATATTAAAAGCAATCACTTTTTTAAATACATGGAAGTGTTAGTTCTAGTTTATATGTCCTAAATCAAGCAATTTTTATGACTAAAAACACCAACAATTTGTCATTTAAAAATTTGGAGAATTGTAATTTGAGGCCTCTTTTAACCTTTGATTTATTTACTAATATCACCCCCCCAGATATTCACTTATCTTCTAGTACTTCCCCTTTTAGAGGTAGAAGCATGCCTTTCTTGTGTACAAGATAAACCTTTCCCTTTTCTTTGAATCCATTTATTCCTACTTTTGTGAGCAGCTTGTTTTATAACTTATCTTTGTTTCCTTGTGCCAAAATGTCTTGTTCTACATTAAATTCTTCTAAACTTAAAAACATGGCCTAACTCAAAAAAATGAAAAATGAACAACTTCTGCCTTTTTTACAACTTTTAAAATGTTTAAAAGTTTGTCTCTATTGTGTTCCTCTTTATTGCAATGAACTCATTCCTGAATTTCCTATAGTCCATTCTGCCCCAGCCTACTTAAGGTATTTTCTTTAACATCACCACTAACTGTTTAGTTACAAAATTAAACTGACCCTTCTCATTGCTTATTTCATTAAGCACTTGATCAAATAAAAAATGTTTGAAAGACAAATAAATGAAACAGTCCCATGCATTCAGTCATTCCAATAAGTACATATTTATCAAATACCTACGTACAAGGTACTATGATAGTTCAAAGAAGAGTAAGAACGCAGTTCCTTTCCTTAAAGAGTATTATAGAATCTAGAGCACTCTTACTAAGAGAAAATATAATTAAGGATCAAATCTTTGTTTTAAATGGTTCACAGTGTGAAATATATTTTCAATCATTCAGGGAGAATTTTTTGAGCAAGTCCTGTGAATCCCTGAAATTAGCATACCCTTTGGCTGACTGTACAACCGTATAAAAGTTACCTATCTTCCTACTTCTCAGTTTCAAAAAAGTGCTTAAATTCAAATCATACAGTAACAAATAACTAATTGCAACGATTAAATATCATTTTTGCATATAAATGCTCTCATTATGCCCACACAGTAAATTTTATTATAATCAGATTAACAAATTATTATCCAATTCAAATTAAGGATTTGAAAATTCTTTCACTATAGTATATTTTAACTGTAATAAGCTTTCTTAATTTAATGTACCACTTTCTGTTTTATAAGAACTTCTCAGGGCCTCCTATTCTAATGTAAATGAAATGTCTTATATTAATCCCCATTCCTGCATGAACACTAACACCAATACCTCCCCAGCTCAGCTTTTTTTTTTTTTTTAATATATTTTTATTGATTTCAGAGAGGAAGGCAGAGGGAGAGATAGAAACATTGGTGATGAGAGAGAATCATTGATCGGCTGCTTCCTGCACGCCCCTAACTGGGGATCGAGCCTGCAACCTGGGAATGTGCCCTATCCACGGAGCCAAACCAGCTAGGGCCCCAGCTCAGTTTTTTATGTTGCCCATAACCAAGATTCACCTTCCTAAGTAGGCTCTGATCTTACCCGAATCTCTCTCCAATAACAATCTTGTTCCTGCACGTGTCCCATGAGAATAAAAGACCATTCTTTCAGGGATGAGACATGTTATTCCTGTATCTTGTGGCTACCTTCACTATACTGTCTCTATAATCTTTCCAAAGCTTCTCACTTTAACTTCCTCTACCAAACACCATTCACAAGTGACTTAAGTGTTTTTCTTTAAATTTATAATTTATTCTCATGTTGAAATACTATCTGAACTCTTATCTGAATAAAGTTACTTGATAAAATGATATTTTCACCCAAATATATAAGCTCCCAAAACTACATTGGCCTCTATGCTTTAACACTGAAGGACAAGTGATTTTTTATTATGAGAGCAGATAAAAGAGGCTTTGGAAATGACAGGAAATACTTCATGCTAAGGCGGTTACCACCAGGATATTCACCTGACACGGGCGTACACTTTGCAACACTGGTGAGGCTGGTCTCGGATGCACCTGGGAGCTCCCGCAGCCGAGGGAGGTGCTGCTGCTGGCCCAGCCCACAGTCTTCAGTGTCGGGTGGCCTTTTCTGAGCAAATCCTTGCTTCTGAAATGTCAGCTTCAAACCACCTTCCTGGGAAACAATCACCATTATTAAGTAAGGAACAATTTACATAATCTCATTGCAGGATTCCTAGAGAAATGTTTTACTTAGAAAAAGTGAAGTAACCCTGAAATATTAAGTTATCTCTCTTTTGCTCATAAATCAATTGAAGAAAACATTAAATCATTGTCTATCTGAAGTGGGAAAAAAAATCCAGGCACTATACACACTTTTATGAGCAAAACAAAGTTTTTCACATGACCAATATACACTGTAACTTTCAGCTATGGACATACATCTCTATATACGTTATTCAAATGACATTTTAGACAGTGTAAGTCACTGAGTAGTAAATTTTGCTTCAAAAACCACATTGAAAAAAATGAAAGGTTACTGAAAACAGGGCATGCTAAATGTTTAAAACAGAAAGTGCACTGACATACCATTGAAAGATTATATAGAAGAACCGAAACATTAGAAACTGTCAGACTGTTTAAGAAAGCATCTTGATCAGCAGAAGGACTATTTTCAGAAGTATAGGTAGAGAAACATATTTAATGATGATCCCTCTAGTAGAGTATTCAAGTTTAATAACCTGGATATCAAAAGGAAAATAATCCAAATACCAGAAAACAAGTATGTGAAGGAAGTAAGAGTAAGAGCAGGCAGCCATTTGCAGGAAAAGCATGCTGCACACCACAATCGCAACCAGGCCCTAGGGCAATAAAAATACACATACGTCTTTGATTTTCACTGTAAACTCCTTTTCTCGTACATGCTTCTTCACCTTTGACATCTGTGCTGACTGATCATGTTCTTCCTTCACACCGGCACGGGGAGGAGTGGGCACACTGGGCTCGCGAAGCTCTGTGGCTGCGCCAGGGCTGTCCAGCAGCTTTGTGGTATAGAAAGAAGCCACTGTGTTGGCATCGTAACTTCTTCTAGCTGAAGGCCACTTCCCTTTCAGAACTGTTTGACAAATACTGTCCAACCGGTTGATCATCACACGATCCTGGAAGAGCATACCATATCCAAGTTTAATTTTAATAATTAGGCCAGATCTTTGGATACCAAGTGGCTCCAAGCCTTGATGCATCTAACGCTAACAATAGATGTGTATTTGGTATGCATATTCTCAGACACATATCACAATTCTATATGAAGTGATTCAAACACAAATTCCCACTGGTGAAGTTAAAAAATATATTATAAAGATACTTTTCTATAGTTTTGTTTTTATAATGACAAAAATAATATAGGTTCCCTGTAAAAATAAATTCAAACAACCCAGAAGTACATAAAAGAGTAGAGAGTTCTCTATTCCTCCATGTCCCAACATCACTTCCAAAGGTAAATAGTCTTGTAATAGACTACTCATATACTGGAAGAATTGTATTAATCCAATCGAAACTCTTGCCACTGAATATACGTACACTTAAATGACCTTTTCCCTTTTTCCCCCTTGGGTCAGAACTTGCTATGATTAATTTCTCCAAGGAGGCTCAGTTGAAAGCACTCATTTAGTAAAGAAGCACTTGAATATTAATTTCTTTATGAACAAAATAATTTTCTTTTACTCTAGACATTCTAAGGTTATATTGAGAAACATACATTTAAGTAGATCTAATTTATTTAATAGTAGTACTTGATATTTTTAATGCCAACACTAAAACGTTATCCTACATTTTGAGTGACCTGTTTTTCTACATAATAAAGCAATATAGAAAAATGCTAAAAAAGGAGAACTATTTCAACAAGGAAATATTAATTTGCCTTTGGCCAATAGGAAGCTGCCAGCATGTATCCACTGTGTAAGATGTAGGCAGACTCTGGTGTCCCATTGTTCATCTGGAAGCTGTCCTGGGTCTCATCCTGGGTAGTGCTCAGTGATGCAACGCTTTCTTCATCATAGGCTTTCATGTGAGGGGTACCTCCTGCTAACAACAATTGAAACTGTCTAATCAGACTACAAACTTCAAATCTCATATAATTATTCAGATACATCTGAAAAAGTTAGAAGCAAAAAAATTGTAAAAATAAAAAAGGGAAAATTCAAGTAGAATACAATACTCATCATTTTAAAAATTAGCACAAAAGTAAAATAAATGACACTAAGAAGTTTGAGGACAGAGGGTTAACAGAACATCCTTTAATGCATAAGAATGACTCTCATTTAACTCTCTAGATCTGTTTCCCCAATACAGGTAAGCAGCAGGTTGATAGCCTATCTCTGGACTGAGAGAACCCTAAGTATCAGATGGGGATACTGTAACTCTCGAGGAAAGGACTGTTGTAAATTGGGCGTGCCCCATGGGCAGCCCTGAAATGCATGCCTATGCAGCTGCTCTGGGAGATTCCAGCATCTGTGAGGTATGGAGGTTCTTTAAGCCCGAGTGTCCACTGTGCCCACGTGATGTTAACTCACTTACTTGTAGCCGAACTGGACTGCTGCCAGGGTGCCTGCACAAGAGGACCACTGCCCACTCCTCTGCTGAGAGTTCCTATCCTGCATCTTCCTGAATAGACAGCTGCCAAGTAGGGCCTAGGACACTCTTATTGGTCTGACTGCTTAATCAAAGAATCCTGGTGGCTGTTATAGAACATTATCTTCATTTGTTCACTGATCAACTTGTTCCAGTAAAACTATAATACTAAATTTAAGGCAATCACAAGGAAATAAAATTACTGTGTTAATACCTCTGTTTGACAAACTCACTTGGCAATGCCCTGAAAATTAAAGTAATTCTAGTTTCCTTTTCAATAGTGCTTCTCTAAGAAAATCTGTAGACATAACATGTAAGCTCACAATTTTAAACACCCTTAAGTTATCAAAACCAATTTTTTTCCTTTTCACCTGTAATCCTGTCTTAAAATAGCAACAGCACTTTATGCATATACCTCGCTTTTGGACTTCCTCTTCTTCACTGTCACTTTCTTCTGATGACGATGAAGAGGAGGAGGAGGAGGAGGAAGACGATGAGGATGAAGACGATGCTGAAGAACAAGAGGAGGATGAAGAAGAACTGGAGCCTGAACGAGAGTGGGAACAAGAGGAGGAGGAAGACGAGGAAGACGACGATCTGGAAGAACAGGAGGACCTCTCGGAATCAGAGTCAGAGTCTGAACTAGATGCTGACCCTCTTTTGTGGACGCGCTGTTTGTTAGACGCAGGGTTTGGAGTCAGGGGTTCTGTTCTGGCGGCAACCATGCGTCTATCTGCTTCCCCTTTCCCGCCAGATTTCTGGTCTCCAGCAGCCTGTGGTAAAACACCATTCTTTGGACTTACAGGCTCAGACTTTATTAGTGTCCTGGTTTCCTCAGAAGACATGGATTCCTCTTCCGAAGACTGAGGCTCCTCTTTAAGATTTTCATTTTTCACTTTCAGGTCCGCTAGAACAGTACCTTTAGCATCTAGGATCCTAGGTAGAGAGGTCAGAGGAGAAGCAGAAAGTGCTACTTGATATTGCTGTAACAGCGGCGTGGAGGTCCTTGAATGAGCCATCCTATTCTGACTGTAGTTCCTCTGTGCTGCCATAAATGAGAGTTCAGGATCACGAAGGATGTGATAGTCTGTTCGGCTCACCCCGTGTTTAGCGGCTCCAATAAGCAAGTCCCTATCATGAGGGCCACATTCCCACCAGACTGGCAAGTCTGGATTTGGATGGCAAAGCTTCAAGCGTTCACACAATTGCGGATGGCGGAGCGCCTGTTCCCTTACTTTCCTTAGAAGTTCAATGCGATACAAAGTCCTAGAAGCACGTTCTTCTGTGATTGGCTGAATAAAAATATTTGGATCCACCAATTCTACATTAAAACAGAGCAAAGATACCTCAAAAATAGTTTAGTATAGATTTAAAACAAATAATGCAACTTCTAAAATGTACCTCTACCTCATATCACTGTATAGTTTCCATAATTTCTTTTCAAAATGAGAATATAGTTTAAAAAGAAGTACCAAAAGTCATATAACATAAAATATATGAATACTGGATCTACACAAAGTAAGTAAAACATTATGAATTTTTGGAAGTACGTTAATATAAATAGGAATTTACTTGTAAGAAATTCCTCATGATTCATGTCTTACTATTCTGTGCCTTAATCAAAGAGCAAAACTTAGTTGACCTCACTTATAAATATATAAATTAAAACTGTTAAATGCCCCATAAACAAACGTAAGTCCACATATCCCTAACTACATGAGGAAACTCAGGCAATACAGAGAACTCACCAAAGGCTTTCTTACAATTTGAAGGAAACACGGGGACATTCGTCAAACACTGTATGAACTACTAGTTTCAGATAATTAATTCAGTTTTAACAGGCTATATTTATTCCTTTTGATGAGGTCATATCTTTGTCAGCAGAGATACTGGCAAAGCAAGGATCTACAGAACTCTCTGATTGGTTTTTGCAACTTTTCTGAAAGTCATTCAAAATAAAAAGGTAAAAACAAACCATGGACTATGCAAAAATCAATATGGAACAGCAAACAAGAGTGTGGGAGTATCTATTCTACTTCCAAGATCTGAGAAGGTGTACAGTGTCCAACAGGTGCACACATCCTATTCATTAGTAAGTAACTAGGGTTATATAAGAAATAACATTATTTTTTTTCACTCAATTTATGCTATGTTTTTAAGCAATTACTAGACTGTTAAGACACAGAAACTTTTTTTATTTTTTATATTTTATTGATTTTTTACAGAGAAGAAGGGAGAGGGATAGAGAGCTAGAAACATTGATCAGCTGCCTCCTGCACACCCCCTACTGGGGATGTGCCTGCAACCAAGGTACATGCCCTTGACCGGAATCGAACCCGGGACCCTTCAGTCTGTAGGCCGACGTTCTATCCATTAAGCCAAACCAATTAGGGCAGGACACGGAAACTTTTTAAGTCGTTTGAATTACTATTGTTTTAAAATATATTTTATTGATTTTTTCACAGAGAGGGAAGGAGAGGGATAGTTAGAAACATTGATGAGAGAGAAACATCAATCAGCTGCCTCCTGCACACCTCCTATTAGAGATGTGCCCGCAACCAAGGTACATGCCCTTGACCGGAATTGAACCTGGGACCTTTCAGTCCGCAGGCCGACGCTCTATCCACTGAGCCAAACCGGTTAGGGCGAACCTAATTATTTATTAAACAGAACTATTAGGCCTCAGGTGCTGTGAAAAATTCAGAGACATTAAGGGCACCGTGAACTGAGGAAGTTTGGGAAACTGAACTAAGTAAATGAAACCTCACTCACAAGTCTAACAAAAAAGAGCTACCTTTTCAGTCATCATTTAGTAACTAACCCTCCCTGCTCTTTTAAACCTGGAATCCAATGTGGTGAACTTATCGGCCTAGCGTTACACTGCTGTCAGAATGAAGAAGGCAAAAAGGAAACGAGGCCTCTCGGCACCCATCACTAATGGGAGACGAAGCACTATTCATTGTCCAGCTTTTAAAACCCACTCATGGTTACAACAGACCTTGACTCAGACTAACACCTACTCGAATTACCTGTTATTTGGGGAATCAAGTGATTGGCTACTCTATTTAGCGGACTGACAATAAAGCTGTTAGGAGGAAAAAAGGAAACCAAGTCATGGTATTTAACTCCTTTTATAATACACTTACTATGAAATAGGAGTAGTAAGCCAACGCTTTAGGAGGCAGAAATCTTATTCAACAAAGAATGAAGACAGCAGCTCACAACATAGCACTACTAAGTGGAACTGCTGACAGCTTCAAAAACCATGAAGTTTACCCCGGAACCGTCCCTTAGATGAGCATCAGCACCTGGGATTAGTTGTCTTTTTTGAAGGCCCTGGGTGATTTCATCTTACTAAAACTCTTTAAAATGTCCTTTGCATGAAGGCCTCATTCCCTGTAAAATAATGCATGTAAATACGCCCTCTAGCATAGTTCCGATCAGTTCCTATGGGCTAAAATGTAAGTTAGTGCTGTTTACTAAAAGCTATCCTTCATCTGCTACCTCGCCCAATCATAAATCTAATAAAACACTAGCTATTTTCTCAAACACAATGTGCACCTTTATTCTCTTTAGATCTCATTTTAATAGGAAGAAGGAATTGGGGATATTTTGGCATACTTTATTTACAATTCTGGAAAAGTGCTGACTTGTTGAATTAGACAATACTGAAAATTTCTGATTTTATTAACTAATGTCACCCCAATAAATTCAATAAAAAATAATAAAAGAAAATTTCATGTTAATGATTTTGCTTCTTTGACCAAAACAAGGGAAAAGAAAGGAATTTTATACATACCTTCTTTGGAAGGAAGACGGCAAACCCTCCGACACATAGACATGAATGCATACAAATATTTCTCCAAGCTATCGTCAGTTTTCTTATGTAGCCTAGCCATAGCTCTAAATTTTGTCCAATCAAATTGACCTCTGTCAGGATCAAATACCACTCCAAATGTAGACACCACTCTGTAAAAGTCAGCTTCTTCTCTTCTTGTCCATCTATTTTGAATCAGATGGAAGAAAAAGTCATACTGGTTACCGAAATAAACATTTATTAATGCTGAATATAATGACCAGAATAAACACTTAAAACACTGCAAGTACCTAACACTTTAAAGGGTTAAATCCAGGGATACTTTCTTGTAAATACATTTAAAAATACTAGTTGACTCATCCCTCCAACTATGCTTCTTTTCCTTCAGACAATAGTTTTTTGCACATTTATGTAAGAAAATATGCACAGGATACAAGATTATGTAAGATATGATGACTCTACCTTCAGGAAAAAGATAAAACATTTAAAACATGTTTATTGTATAAGGTAGAAACCAAGACTATTAGGAGAGCACAGGAGAAAGAAGGATCAATTCAGACTTGCATGATGAGATAAAGTATTAGAGAGTGGTATTTAAGTTGGAACAAGCTAAGATTAGCAGGGCATGTAAGAAAGAGGGCACCAAATAAGCAAAGTAGGGAGAAATCTACATTTTGGGGGGGGGGGGGGATAGTATTCCAGATTGACAAGGAGATGGCTCATACTAGGGACAGATTAGGAAATATTCTAAATGCCTGCCTAAAAATAGTCTCTATTCAATAGAGATACTTAAGAGGGTAATATTTAACTCACACAACTGTTGTGTAAATTAGAAAAAGAACATGAGAAAGTCCTTTGAAGAACATTAACAGGTGACCTTTTTTTTCATAGTGATGCATTAAGAAGACTAACGTAATGATGTTGTAAAAACTGTCAGTCTGGGAAACCAATCAAGTCATATGAATCTTGCAGAGTGACAAAAGTAGGAATGGAAAAAAAGGATGAATTAGAAGAGTGCACAGCGAGAAAACAAAACACACCACAGTGCCTATCTTCAAGGAATTTACGACTTAGGCAGACACAGAAAGGGAAAAATAAATGTCATTACAACATCTTAAATTATTGTGCAAATGAGTCATTTATTTAAATGAGTGCTATAAGAGTGCAGAAAACAGAGAGAGTACTGTAAGCTGAACTGGTTGAGAAAAAAATTAGTACCATAAAGGCTTGGATATGTATTGAGCTCTGAAGGATGGAGTAGGTATGGACTAGAGAGTAGGAAAAAGAGTATTATTACGGGTGATAGGGTGTTGAATCAATAATGAGGAGGTCATTCTGGCTGAGAGAACAATAGTGGATAAAATTAGAAATGCACAATGATGCCTAAATTGAACTAAGGCTCAAGAACTTAAGACTTTAGGAGTCACTGAGTATCATAATAAAACTAGTATCTTAGGAAGATTAATCCAGACCCCATAGACTGAGGAAAATGTATGTGGAGTAAAGATGGCCACAAATTATTTGCTAATCTTCTCATTGAGAGGTATAATCTATTTCTCTTTCCCTTAAATCTTGGTTGGCCCTGTGACTTTTTTTTGACCAACAGTAGGTGGCAGAAGTGACACTTTGTAGTGCGGAGGCTGGCCCGAAAGAAATCTGCAACTTCTGCCTCTGCCACTAGGAAGGTTCCCTCTTAGATTTGAGCTCCCAGCTGGCAGCCAGTCAGCCATGGGAATGAGGCCACTTCAGACTTTCTAGCCAATACCAGGAGAAGCACAACTACCTGGTCAACACAATTAAATGTGAGAAATAAAAAGCTGATGTTGTTTTAAGTCATCATGTTTTGGGCTGGCTTGTGATACGGTGACAGATAACAGAAATAGTTACAGAGTTAGTAGTATTTGAAAATTATGTCTAGAATTGCTAAAATCTAAAGTTTCAGACTAAGTAAACTCTGGTTACAATGATGAACTGCAAATGGGGAAAAAACATACACCAAAAGACAAAACAAAAAAAACCCCACCAAAAAACCCCAACAACCCCCGATTCAACTCCCAGAGAATATCCAAGGATCAGGTTTAATAAGGGGCCAGGTTATTGCTAAACATTCCTATTCTTTTCTGTGTACTCTATCATTTTTAAAAAGTGAAGTTTTTGGGATGGGAGAAGTTTGCCTGTTTTCTTCACAGGGTCCTTGTAAGAAGTTCTACTACCATTTGTTCCCCTTTGACATAGCAGTTCCAAGGGCTCTTCCTGTGTATAAAGCATAGATGGATTTGTCTTTCATAGATTCTAATATTTCGTAGAAGTCATAATTTAAAGAAAGAGAGAATGGAATTTATCTTATGTATTTTAAAAGTTTCATTGATAATTCTTGAGCTTGCTCTGCATTTTCATTTTTTTCACATCAAACTGGTCATAAACATGACAAAGGAATGAAGAACTGACAAGTATGGCTAGTAACCATAAGCTGCAATAATCTTTACTAGTTTTGCCATATTTGGGTATGTATTTATGCATATGTGTATATGTTTTGTTTTGACCAATTTCTCTACCCATATATGCTTTTCACAAAGTGACTAATCACACCCTAACAGCCTTCAGAATGACCAACTATATTTAGATACTACATAGTACAGTGTGATTTATTGTCTTACCTTTGCTGTCTTTCTATCTTGGCTGCCATTTTAGGATTAAGAGTGGCTTCTTCATAAAGAGGCTGCATGACGCTGGCAGGCACTGAGAAAGTAGGTTGGATTTGCTGGATTTGTCTATTTTTATTAGTGCGCTGATATGCAGTGATGAGACGCCTCAAACGTGTGGTTAAAGCCGACTGAGTAGGCCAATAAACTTTATCACCCTCCATCAGTTGACCATCTATATTTAAAGAAACTCATGTCAATTGAAAAAGACTAAAAAACAAAATTAAAAACAAAACCAAACACTATGATGAAGTTTACAAAAGTAGCAAAAGTTCCCTACTTAAAAAATTTTTCTTTCAATCTGATTATGTGAAAAATCAAACCAAATCTCTCATCATTAAATAGTTTTAACTATAGCTCTAAAAACATTACAACAAGCTTTAAGAGCAACTCAAAATAAGTAATCACAGTAGAATAAAGAACCACGTTATATATTTAAAGAGAACTCTACTTGCACAGAAAATACAACTCTTGCATCAACAGGTCTAATATATCTTACTGGCTGGTTAGTACTCAATGCCTTCAATGAAAAGTCAAATTGAAATCCATGAGAAATTGAATACTGTAAACTTTTCTAATTGATCTATTCTGTATTAAATTTATCTCCACTTAACTGGAATCAAAACATTTTACAATAGGATGAGGGGAACTTATATTTCAATAGGATAATGCTACAATCTTTAAGCTTGTATATACCCAATACAGTGCAGGATCTTACTGTCCATTTCCGGGGTGTGATTATTATACTTAAATATACCACCACCAAGCAGGAATCATTCATGCTAAGCAAATCTCCTCTTTAGTTCTGAGTGAAATTACGCAAGGGTGAGGCACGGCTCCCCTTGGTTCACAGGAGGTAATGAGTGTACTCTAGGGACAGTGCTTTCCTGTCTGGATATCACAAAGAAGAAGACCCTGCACAGCAAAGCTGTGTAGAATGTTCCCTAATGTGCATATGGAACTAATAACAAGCTGAATGAATTACTGAATTAACACTTTAATGATAAAATCTCATATAAGTTTAATAATCAAGACATAAAAAAATCAGCTTCTGTGCTTAACAACTCACTGAGGACTGAGTAAAGATTTGCAGGTAAAAATATTGTTAAATTCTCAGTCAACTAGTATGTCCAATAGTCATTACGACTGTCTTCAACAAAAATTTCACATACATCTGAAGCATTACAAAAATTTATTAGTTTTTGATCTCATGGTATTATGAGAATATTAATTTACAATAATATTAAATAATTAAATGCAATTTACCTCCATCTGCTATAACAAGATCTCCTGGTGAGGAAACATCATCCTTTTAAAGGAAAATAGAAATTGTCAGAGGGTCATTGGGACAAAATACAGATAAGAAGAAAAGTGAATCAAACTTCTTTAAATAATAAATTTAGCAAAAATAAAAACTATAATCTGTTATTAATTCTCACCCCTTTGTATTTCTCTATCGACTTTGATATGTAGATCAATCATTACTAAAATTATTTTCTTTTCTATGATTACATTTAAATGGGTTTCTTTTCCTCTACCCTTTCTCTAATTGTAAAAATGCTTCAGGTTTTATTTACAACTGGTTTTTTTATACCAACTCTCACATAATTTACTCATTCTCATATTTGGTTATTAGAAAACCTTCAAATCTTTTCTGTTTAATCCTGAACAATTTGCTTGTGCTGTATACCTAATTTTTATCTGTCAACAGAGCATCTTCAATTAGGCATTATAACTTTGGTTTTATTCCAATGACTACTAGTTTGTATTGTTTTAGAAAAGCCTAACTTTAGATTTATCATCCCTTTGTAGGTGGGTCTTTTTTTGTCTGGTTAATTTTTAACATCTTCTCTTCATTTGGTATATCTACAGTTCCAGCAGGAATAGAGTGGATTTAATTTTATTTATCTTGACAAGATTCACATTATTGCTTGAATCTGAAAATTCATGTCTTTCATCAAATCTAGAAAAATTCTTCTCCCTTATACTTTCTGGTCTCTCCTGGAATACTTATTTCACATACTGTAAAGATATTATCATGCTATTCTTTATCTCTAAAAATTTATGTATTCCACTGTGCTGGTTATTGATGTATTGCCTCAGCTCTAAATTTATTGCCTCTCTCAATGCCTCTTGTTAGCTCTAAGAAAACGATGTGGGCTCTTTAAATATTTTTTCTTAGCCAGCATGATAAGTTCTGTTAGTAGTGGGAACTTGAGAGACACTGTTGGAGAACAATGATTTGACTTCATGATTGGGAACGTTTCCCCACTGCTCAGCTCCCATGGCACACACGGCTCCCCCAGCGCCACTTCCTGTAGTTCAGGCGGCTTCTTTAGCATCTGTTGGCCAGCAGCCTTCCCTAGAAACCTCCCTGTTGGTAGCGCCCCGTGGCTCCCACAACCAGCAAATCCTACCTGACAGCTATAGCATCATCTAGTCTTTCAGCATGCTCTCATATATAATATGGAAATTTCTCATCCCTTTTACCATTGCCTCCCCCACTCCACAGATTATGTGTTAGGAAAAGCACACAAAAGAAAAGCAAACAAAAGAAACCACAGAACAACAAAAATTGAGGATTTAAAAATATGATCTAAAGCATACCTCTATGTCATCTTTAAAGAAAGCCGGGGCAGGTTTGTATTCTGGATCTTCCACATCCCTATTAAAATACCAACAAATTCAATAATAATTTGACTGCACTTAAATTTCTCTTGACAAGACAAGTGGAATCTTGTGGGAAGGACTTTTTAGTGTGTTTTAAAAGTCAGACTGAAGTCTCTGTTCTTCGGCCAGGGGAAACCAAGCCATAGCATAAACACTGTTATATGTCAAGTCAGAAGAAATTTAGTTTTAATTAACTCATACTCCCACGTTCACTTTTAAATGTGGAATTATTAACCTTAACACAGTCTCTTACTTTCCTCTTTTGGTAGCTTTCTTCACTCCTATACCCCTGAAATATTATGGCCTTAATGACCATGACTACTAGGAATGAAAAATTAAAGGACTCATAAAAAAAAAAAGGGAGTGGGCAGGTCCATTTCTTCCTTGATCCTACTCTGTTGAACAAGTGCTAACTTACTAGAGCTCTGAACATTAGCTTTTCTGGACTGTAACTCCAATTCTGTTGTGACTACATTATTTGTGACACAGAATATGCTGACGATGGCAGAGATACAGGGAATTCATGACTTGGAGGTGCACATACCCGTCCATGTAATCATTTGCCCTCTGTTCTGCAGCCACTGCTTTTTCGTCAGGCTTCCCCACTCTTTCCAAGAAGCATAATGCCGGGTCTGCTCGGATAGTGTTATATTTCTCATAGCCTGGAGAGGTTACCAATGGTCAAAGTCAACAAGATGAAAGAAAGATGTATGCATACAAGCACCCCTCATATGTATGGGGGATGACATTCCTGGACTAAAGGGACTGGATATTAAAATGATACATACATGTTTTCTAGAAATTACCACAAATAGTACATGACCTGGTATTATGTATATTTGAAAGTTTAGATTGAATTTATCTGTTAAAATGAAAAAGAGGAAAAACTGATCACATATACACAGCACGCTTCCCATAAGAAGTCTTCCTGAGAGGGGGAGCTGTGTGAGGCTACGTCCAGGGCACAGTGGACATAAGCCCGATTCTTCACGAGGAAATGCAGTGATGAGACACAGTTTGGAAGTGAATGCTTTATATGTCAGATATAGAAACATGAATGTGACTGGAATAAAGCTGCCAGTGGAAAGCAATGAACAGAACTAGCCGAGTAGCACTATACATAGAAAAAGAGTCCACCAACCTTACTTTTCACTTACCATGTTTAAAAACTCCAATAAGGAGTGACTTATCAGCATCAAAATCCCACCATTCAGCAGGAACTTCTGAGTGGTCTGGTTCTGGGACCCAAACATCAATGTCACTTAAAAAAAATAAATAAATAGAATGTAACAAACTAGCAAGGGTTAATTCTCTAAGTTTGGTGAATTTTTCTTCTTGTGAATTTCATTGACAAATGAGCAATTTATACAGACAGCTACAGTTTTTTGCCTAATCATGTTACTGAAAAATATAAATAAGTTATTTCATTTACCTTGCATCAACTCCATCAAATACTTTCTGGCACTCATTTCCAATGACTTCTTGCTTTAGATAATAAAGCATTCTTACACGAAGCAAAACCCTAATGATGAGATAAAAGAAGTCAAAAGATACAAAAATATAATCACTAAAGAAAAGCCATCCATGGGGTTTAAATTAGAAAAGAATTTGTATGTGGAATTTTTAGAATGAAATAATAGTTGTGATTAAATATCATTACTACCATATATATATATATAATAGATTTCTCCAAAATCTTCACAATCAACATTAATTAATATCCAAGAAAGATACAATGGCCAGTTTTATTTCTCTGTTGATGGAAAGTGACACAAGAGGGACCATGATTTGCGGATGTATACTCTGAAAGATTAAGATCAGGACTAGTCCTAGACCACACTGTCTCTGTACTCAAAATCAGCATGCTTTAAGGTTGTTAAAAAATTCAGAAAAATAAACTTATAATGAGCTGTGTTAAAAATACCCCACGACATACTTATTACAGTGGTGCTTTATATGTTTTTTGTAGCCTTCATCTTGAAGTAGCTGCTCAGGATTATATTTTCGAAGCCATTCTGCTTTCTGTATATCAAATGAGCTTGTCTGGGTCTTTACTTTCTTCCCTTTTCGGCCCCTGGGTACGGGGGCTGATAGGCCTGTTGAAATGAGGACATGGGAATTCAGGGATAATCTGTATACAAATCTGCAATTTGAAAGATTTTTTTCAACGTAATGAACTTCTGGAGACTTTCAGAGGTCTGTACAGGCTATTCCAAGATCTTTAAAATATCAATGGTAACAATACTGATTCAATCACAAGATGATGGGTCAACATTACACACATTAAGACAACTTCCCCCAATAATTCTTCTATCTCAAATGAATGAGTCTCATTTCCTTTTTGTTCCAAGACACATTTTGTTTTTCAAATGTAAAAACTATAAGATCAAACCTTCCGCTTTGCTTTACTTTTGCTCCCCTAGTTATAAAATAGTAAGTTTTGGCCTGGATTTTCAAAACTGATTTTACTAATAACATGGATTAGGCGTAGCCAAGCTGGCTTCCTATTCAAGAGAGCTAAATTCATTTTATTTCTTTGTCATTTTTGTTGTGAAATATTTCAAAAATACAATAACAAATTCCCACTGTTAATGTCAAAATATCTGCTCTTTGGTCGTTTTTATTGAAGGAAATAATACATGGCTGAAGTCCACTTCACTCCTTCCTCTCCAGAAAGAATCACTACCCTGAATTTGCTTTTGCATTACATGCATATTTATATTCATATGTTGAAGAAATATTTAGTATTTAAGTAATCAGACATTATATTATACATGTAATTTGGCAACATACTGACTACTCTTGATATTTTTTTGAGATTTATACTTGATGATTCATGAGACTCTAATTCATCCACTTTAATTGCTGTGTAAAAATCTATTGTAAGATTATATACCTCGTATTAATCTTCAATGATGCTTGAGTTGTTTCACTTATAATTTTTCAAAATTACTACTAGAGCAGATTGGATTCCTCCTTTCAATTCTTTTTAAATTTTTTTTATGTCTTTATTGTTTAAAGTATTACATATGTCCCCTGTCCCCTCTCCTTTCAATTCTTACCTCAGTGATCTTTTCCTTGCTGTATTCTACCAGCTAGAAGTTCCATCACAATTGTGAATACAAGCACTATGCAGATTTGTCCATTTCTCCTTAAAATTTTGGCGGGTGTTGTCTTTATATTTTGAGACTATTTTGTTCGGTGCATACAAGTTCATACTTCTTTTATGGATTGGTCTTTTCTATTATGTAGTGTCCTTTCTTAAATACCAATCAATGCCTTCCACCTCAAATTGTATTTTGCTCTATGTTAACATTGCTTTCCTCTTCACCTTTGTTGGTTTGGAAACTAAACAGTGCATATTTAAAGACACATACTTAAATTTTCCTAATAAAACCAGTAGATGTTCTATATTTTTGAACTTTTCCCTAACAAAATTATCTCACATTCATCATTTAATCCTATTTACTGTTTCATTTTTGATGCTTATAATGTAACTTATAATTTAAAAGAGGTCTGCTTGTGCTTTGAATGTTTCTATAACACCTTACTCATCTTTCAAAATCAAAATCTATTTGAAATATCTTTGAAGATATTAATGATGGATTTTTATAAGTTGTGCTCTCCTTTTATAGTCTTTGACTTCAAGTTCAATTTATGAGTTTCTTTTTACACCCTGTCTCTCATATTGGAGACTTTCCTAATCCTAGTTGTTTGCCCATATTTAAGAATGACAGACCAAAAAGTTTATAGGTAACCTGAATGGGCGGAGCTTACTGTTTTGGATTCACTGAGGGGTAATCTCGCTGGTTTTATCCTGTCATTATCTTTAGGTTTTGGCCTGGTCAAAGAAGAGTGAAATTATATTTATGAGACTCTTTTGTCATTACTGGAAGTTAGATCTTCACACTAATAATTTCACTGACTCTTATTAAGACAGACCTCCAAAGACCAGCCTATTCTAAAATAGTTGCTTTCCATTGTTCTCCAACTTGGCACTTAGTTTATTTACTTCACAATACTTGTCACAATCTGTAATTATTTAGTTACTTGACCTACTTTCTTATTCTATCTATCTGGCCAGAATGTACGGTTCATGAGCTCAGGGATCTTGTCTATCTTGTTTCTTATCTTTCCAGTATAGAGGACAAGAAGCAAGTACTGGACTTTTTAACAGGTATTTGTTGATTAAGTAAAACACAATTTAACTCAAACTTAAGGGCACAGTAATCTTGATAGAAAATTCAATTACTTTAAAGTATAAAGTAATTATTTTATACAGAAATAAATGTTCTGTTAGCAATGCTCTGGAGAAAAAGATACTTGTGTGTACCTCAGATTGGACTGTAAATTGGTAAAGCTGTATTTGACAGCAAATGAAAGTATTTATGAAAATTTAAAATGTGTATCTGTGTTTCCCAAACTTTAATTACATACAAACTGCTGAGGAACTTGTTAAAATGCAGATTATGATTCAATAAGACTGAGGCCTGAGATTCTGCATTTCTTTTTTTTTTTTTTTAAATCTAATTTTCTGGTTCCTTTTTTTTTTTTTTTAATATATTTTATTGATTTTTTACAGAGAGGAAGGGAGAGAGATAGAGAGTTAGAAACATCGATGAGAGAGAAACATCGATCAGCTGCCTCCTGCACATCTCCTACTGGGGATGTGCCCGCAACCCAGGTACATGCCCTTGACCGGAATCGAACCTGGGACCTTTCAGTCTGCAGGCCGACGCTTTATCCACCGAGCCAAACCGGTTTCGGCAAGATTCTGCATTTCTAAGCAGCTCACAGGAGATTTTAGGTACTAAAGCTATTTATATATACTTGAACAATTCTATTTCTCAACATTTACTTTAGTGAAAGATTTATTCATGTGCAAAAGGTGGAATGTGCAAAAGGAGAAATGTACAAGGACCTACACTAAAACTTGTTTTGCAATTGTCTAAAATTGAAAATGTCATAAATGTTCAACATTAAAGGGGATGCAAAATAAATTATGGAATCCCCACACTTTAAACTACTAAGGAGGAGGTTTAAAAATAAGACAGTTCTGCCCAGGTCAGTGTTCTTAGTGGTTAGAGCATCGGCCCAAGCACTGAAGAGTCTTCGGTTTGGTTCCCAGCCCCAATCAGGGCCTGTGCAGGAGGAAACCAACTGATGTCTCTCTCTCTCCCACGCTCCCCTCCACTCTCTCTAAAAATCAATGGAAAAATATCTTCAGGTGAGATTAACAACAACAACAAAAATTGTTCTACATGAATACAAATGGGGAAGACTCATAGACATACTAAGGGGTCAACAGTTTGCAAACCTATATACAGGTTTGACAACAATATGTAAATCCCCAAGAAACGTATAACATTGGTATTTTTCTAAGTTGAAACTTGAATTGAGGGTGAAGGTTAAAGGTTCTTTAACATTGTAATGCTATAATATTTTAGAGGGAACTATATTAAGTAATTACTAATTACATAAGTAAAAATAAATTTAAAAAGAAAATGAAAGAATGTTCTTGCCTAGATGATTCTGAAGCTCTCGAGTTTGTCCATCTTCGGTTGGAGTAATGAGGTCCCATATGAAGCCTTTTATTTTCTCATCTCCTCGGTAGTGAACAAGGCAATATGCTAAGAGGGCTCGGCAAATTATTTCTACATCATGCTCATTTAGCTGTCTTTTAAAACGACCATGAGATAGAATCTCTCTCCATCGGCCCCATCTGGTAAAAAAATACATATTTACATTATTCCTCAGTCAAATTTTAAAGAAAAACCATAGCTCATGGATAAATGGCATGAAAACTGCAAAAAACACATTTTGTCATGAATAGGATTTACCTAATAAAGTGTTTCCCCCATGAGTAAAAGGCAGAGCCATGGTACAGTAATTTCTAGTATATTTTATTCCTTAATCAATGGATAACATTATTCATTTTGTATTATTAAATATGTAAATCTGAGAACAAGGGGTTTGACTTTAGTGATACATTTATAATTTCAAACGTAAGAAGGTCCCATCATTCTGTTGTTAAATATATGTTAAACATATAAATTCAGGGTACTTTTAAAATATATTCTATTGATTTTAACAAGGTAAAAAATATACTAGAATATAGTGTTGGTTTTCTGTAACTTTACAGAGCAGGCTACTAACAGTAAATGTTAAAAACAATATTTACCCATAAACCAGCAGATTTTTCTCTACTCTAAAGCATTCAGTTCTTCCATATCCATTAGAACGGTCACAGGGCCTCCGGAGTTTGGGCTTTTCTTCTCCTTCACTTTCGGCTTCAGATAATTCAGCCAATTCATCTTTTGTGGCACTAAAGGGTCTTGTTTGCTTCCTAATTCTTGGAGTGTCAATAACCAAGCTGTTCTGTAAGATTTAACAGCCATTACTTGTAGGTCCTTTTTCTATTTGGCTTATAACACTGTCTTACATGATCACCTTTCAAATTGTATAAAAAATAATTACAGAAAGCGAGAAAAAGAAATTACTAACAATTTCACCAACGTACCAAAAACTTTTATACTCCTTTAAAATCCTTATTAGCATACATTCATAATTTTATGATAGGATAGTAATAGAATTAAAAAGAATTTGGTATTTCACTTTGTAAATAATATGAAGGTTATTGTATTTTGCATCTGCAATAACCATAAAAAATAATTTTAAGCTAAATTTATGAATCCTGATTTTCTTCACCTTATTCCCAATTTAATGTAGATTGTTTTAAAATTTTAAAATAATAATGCTAAAATAAGTTTTTGTGACCTAAGTTTATCCTAAAAATAAACTCAAAATAAGGGAAATAACTAAGAATAGAAATATTGATCAAAGGATATAATATTTATAGGCCTAGAAACAGGTTTCAGTGCTTTCCAAATTTTACTCTAACACAAAAACAAGGCAAGAAGTGTGTGAATTCACTATGTTCAGTTTAGTTTAATTAATTCAAAACAATCTAAGTTTACATGCTTTTTACTTTTACTGAGAAATCTCTCTAAGTTAAGCACTATGTTATGGGCTATGGACATAGATATATACCTATAATCTTTTGCTCATTAAAAATCTGTAGTCTTGAGGGTCAGACTAATGTGAAACAAGTGCTACTCAGCATGGAATATCTTATGACATAAGAAGGGTACAACTGAATGGATCATCATTAATGGGATCTGACACCAAGTCAACAAAGATACATAAAAAGAACATATGATTTAAAGACAAACAATTTTAAAAAACACATTATAATTTTAAAGGATATAAATAATACCCTAAATTAAACTTTCCTTGCTTTACAACCTATCATGAATAGCCAAAGTATGAAACTGAAGCAGTGTCTGACTCAAAATGTCATCCTTCTACTACCCTACATCAATTCATTGATGCAGATAAATTCATTTTGGTAAGTACATAGTTCAATACCTTAAAATATAACAATATTATCAAATCATCCCAAGAGACAATATTTTTAAAAAGAAATACTTACTCTACCACTGATGGTATCTATATCTATTTCTGCCTTTTTAGCCCATTTTTGCCAGAAGTTGGGATCATCTAAGGAAATATCTGTCCGATTTCCAGATGCCACAAAACTCGCCTGAAATACAGAATGGCAGTTTTACAAAATGTTTTGAAGCTAGAGGAAAAATCTATCAAAGCACATTTAAAACATTATCTCCTCACATTTACAATGTTTCATATGCAATGGTCTGAAACATAGCACTTGCTAAGGCAACAAAGGTTATTTCCATGACTAATACATGTTGTTTAAATTAATCAGATTTCAAGCAATTTCCAGCACAAGGGGAAAATACCTGTACACAGTGTTTTGGTTACTTGGACAGCGCCAAAGAATACAAAGTAAACAAGATTTCTCAGGGAAAAGGCTACAGACAGGGTATATCTACCCAATCATGACTAATTTTAGCTCTTAGCTATATATTTGGCAGTAATTCTTTTGTTTCCCCAATAATACTTGACTCTGATTTATTCTCTGTTAACTTCCAAATCTACATCTTTATCCTAGGCAACTCTCCTGGACATCTCCACTTATATGCCCTGAAAATGCTACAAATACCACAGCTCCAATTATATTTTTTCTCCAAATGAATTTCCTTCTCTGGCATTCTCTACTTTACTACATGACACAAGGATTCTCCTTGCTACTTCAGCCAGAATTTAAGTAATTTTGTCTATTCCTTCCCTATGTTTTTTTTTTTTAATCTTCACCCAAGGATAATGTTTCCATTGATTTTTAGAGAGAGTGGAAGGGAGGGGGGAGACAAAAACTCCGATGTGAGAGAGACACATCGATTGGTTGCCTCCCGCATGCCTCTGACCAGGGCCGGGAGCCTGCAACTGAGGTACGTACCTTTGACCGAATCGAACCCGGGACCCTTCAGTCCACAGGCTGATGCTCGATCCACTGAGTCACACTGGCTAGGGCTCCTTCCCTATGTTTTTAACTGGTCATCAACTCTTGTTGATCCAGGTGGTTCTCCACTACCCTAACTCACCTATCATCATTTTCTACATAAGCCTCTTATCTGATCTCCCTGCCTGTAGTCTTTTTCTTTTCAAACTTGTTCACTACTCTGATATTAGGGTTAAACTGCTAAATTAGATTGCATTATGTCCACTTTCTGCTTGAAGGGATTTAACAGCTTTTTTGTTATTGTTGTTAAACCCTACCAGAAGATAATTTTTCCATTTTAGAGAGAGTGGAAGGGAGGGGGAGAGACAGAAACTTCATCTGGGAGAGACACATTGATTGGTTGTCTCCGCACATGCCTCAGGGATTGAGCCTGCAACCAAGGTATGTGCCCTTGGCCGGAATTGAACCCAGAAACCTTCAGTCTGCAGGCTAACGCTAGCCACTGAGCCAAACCAGCCAGGACTTAAAAGCTTTTTAACAGCCTCATGATCAAGTGCAAATTCCTCAAATGGAATTTTTGTGAATCCCTCACAAGTTGAGTCCAACCTCTCTAACCCTCTCATTTGGACTTCGATTCAATTCATCCTGTGCATCCATGCATGCCTATATCATATTCTTTGAAGTCTTCCTTATAGTTTTAGCAACATATGATTCATTTAGGTGACCTCCTCTCTTTTTGAAACATAATGAAATCTAAACTTCTTTTAAGAATTAGCTCCAATTTTCTCTGCAAAGGCTTTCCTGATACCCTGTTCTCCCTTTTTCCACAGAATTAATCATTTCCTCCTTTACTATTATTATTTTTTTAGCAACTGGAATCCTTTCATTTTAGTATTTCTGGCAAATGAGTAAAGTCCCCGACACAAGATTTCGTTAGTATGCTTAATGAATGCAAGAGAAAAAATTTCATTTAAAGAATAATATCATTACTTGGTGTAACACCTGAACTACCTAACAAAACCAGTGATCCACAAAGATAAAGATTTCATGGTTGAAAGCAGAGAGGGGGATAGAGAAGAAAGAAAACGTGGGTAGAAAGGAAGTGGAAAGGAAAAACCTGTATGAATCAGTGCAGGTGGGAGATAATACTGCAATAAAACCTCTTCAGATGAATACAAGATATAAATTTACCATGTTTTTGTTGACAGGAAAAAAAAAGGAATACAAAGGCAGTTAGTAAAGTTTTAAATTATTTCCTCAAAATAGAGTAGATTGATAGTTATTAGCAATTCCTGTCAAGACACAAATTTTATTTTACCCTCCCCAAATTGTACTTAAATATTTAAAAGAAAATTAGAAGTCCTTTCTCTCTTTTAAATATTTTAAATTATAGAAGCCCTGCCTTATCCACAGGAGGTATGTTCTAAGACACCCAGTGGATGCCTGAAACTGTGGATGCTATTAAAACATACACATACTATATCTTCTTCTATACCAGTGGTTCTCAACCTTCCTAATGCCACGACCCTTTAATACAGTTCCTCATGTTGTGGTGACACCCAACCATAAAATTATTTTCGTTGCTACTTCATAACTGTAATTTTGCTACTGTTATGAATCATCATGTAAATATCTGATATGCAGGATGTATTTTCATTGTTACAAACTGAACATAATTAAAGGATAGTGATTAATCACAAAAACAATATGTAATTATATATGTGTTTTCCGATGGTCTTAGGCGACCCCTGTGAAAGGCGGTTGAGAACCACGGTTCTATACGTACCCACGATAAAGTTTCACTTATAAATTAGACACATTAAGAGATTAACCACAATAACTAATAAATTACAACAATTATAACAATATACTGTAATAAAAATTATATGATTTCTATCTCTCAAAGTATGTTCTGAATTGTTTATTTCTGGACTTTAATATTTTTAGACAATAGTTGACTGATACTGGAGAGTGAAGGCATGGATAAGTGGGAACTACTGCATCATCAGTTAAAGTAAGATGACTTAACCTCCTATATACTATTATGTATATTTTTCTTTCACTTTGGCATATATCCTTTTACTTCTAAAATTTCAAATGTTCTACTCTGATTAGTATTAAATATATTTTTAGTTATTCCATTTCACTAGGATCAAACAAGTACGTATGAAATGTGATATAAAAAAATCAGAAAAAGCCCTAGCCGGTTTGGCTCAGTGGATAGAGCGTTGGCTTATGGACTGAAGGGTCCCGGGTTCGATTCTGATCAAGGGCACATGCCCAGGTTGTGGGCTCGGTCCCCAATAGGGGGCATGCAAGAGGCAGCCAATCAATGATTCCCTCTCATCATTGATGTTTCTCTCTCTCTCTCTCTCTCTCCCTTCCTCTCTGAAATTAATAAAAAATATATTTTTAAAAAATGAGAAAAAGAAAAACGTGTATTTCCTACTTCTTTTGAGCTAATTCAGTTTACATTAGGTAGATGCTCTGCAAATAATCAGCAGAGTAAGAGAGACTTAAATTTTTTTAGTAGTGAATGTTACTGACATATATGTAAAACAGCACTCCCTGTTACCTTAGCAAATGTTGACCCACGTCCTTCTGACTCAATTGTAATAGTTTTTGTACGTCGTAGTAAAATCTGATCAATGTCCTCTTCACAGAATTTAGAACCTTCATCTTCTTCTTCCATAATGGCACCATAAGCTCCTCTTCGAAGCAGATCTTCTATTTCCTTTTTGGAAAGCTGTTGAATCTAAAGAGAAAATAACTTCGGTAACAAAATTTTTTTAGGTTCCTAAAGTGAGAAAGTATCCCTAAAGAATGCCAAACACAGAGGGCATATTTAAATATGTACATAAAAGATGATTCTCTGAAAGAATACATTAAACTTGTTGACTCTTCTTTACTATCTTTAAAATGTGACTTGCCATTTGCCTAAAATATCTGAAGTTAAAACAAAGCATGTGGGGGCAGGTGAGCTATCAAGGTGTATTTTAGTTCCAGGATTCTATAGTTGTTACAAGCACAATATATAAGAAAAGAATCTCCATGGAGGTAATGACAAAAAAAATTATGTACTACAAGACTAAGTCAATGCCAGTAGTTTAACACTAAAAACAATTCTGAAAAACTATGCATAGAAAACTGCAGAAAAACTCACAAATTCTATTTTTCTATGCCATGATACAATCGTTCTAAAGGCAGAACAAAACATTTCTACCTTGAATACAAATTCTTAGAATTCACAAGCTCTGAAGCTATACAAAGAGAACAAGATAAAAAGTATTAACTAAATGTTACACCCCCTTCTGAAGTGCCTCCATACATAAAATCAGCTATTTAGTGCTCAGTATGGATCAAAATTAAATAATACCCTACTTGAGGTTAAAAGTAAATGCAAATAAAAACTCCAAGTGAAAAAGAAAATATACATACACCACCAACATTACTTTCTCTTCCACTCATGCTCTGCAACACAGCCTTGTCTAGACCCAGTTTCAGACTGGCTCGGTCAAACATCTCCCTCTCGTATGAGTTACGAGTTACTAATCGGTAGACTTTAACTGCTTTATTCTGACCAATTCTGTGACAACGAGCTTGGGCCTATAAAAAATGAAAAGTGGGGGGTGGGAGGAGACATATGTAATACTCTTTGTAATACTTTAAGCAATAAAACAAAATTTAAAAAAAATGAAAAGTCACAGATTCAATTTATTTTACAAAATAGCACAAAAGACAGCACATAAAAGGCATTTAAGAGTAAAATATCTTGATGGAATATGAAAGTATGTAAGAATTTTTAGACCCTTTTGCTACTGAATTAGTTATAAGCATTTTCTAATAATGAAGGTAGAGCTTACTAAAATACAAAATCAGCGACAAGATAAATTTAATCTTATATTTCAGAGAATATAAATCATTGAAGAATTATTGTTTTTAAAAGAGGGTGTCATCAATATAATTTTAGACAGTAACGTCAACTCTATGAATTTTTTTTTTTGGCTGTTGGCAACTCAACCTTTAAATTGATCAACAATCTTTTCAGCATATTTTAGTTAAACTGGATAACTGAGGGGGTACAAGAAACTAAGGTGAGTAACTATGGAAAACTAAATCTTATTTAAACAAAGAGAACTAATTATCTCATGTGTAGAAATATTGAAAGTTTTACCTTTAGTTCTTGCTATACTTAAAATTTACTGATAAATTTTGACTCTCAAGTTTCTATAGTAACAATGGTCTTTCTCCCAAATTATTATTCAACCTTATATTATCTTCAGAAAATTAAAATATGAATTGTGGCTTTACAATTTTTTAAAATATATTTTATTGATTTTTTATAGAAAGGAAGAGAGAGGGATAGAGAGTTAGAAACATCGATGAGAGAGAAACATTGATCAGCTGCTTCCTGCACACTCCCTACTGGGGATGTGCCCGCAACAAAGGTACATGCCCTTGACCGGAATCGAACCTGGGACCCCTGAGTCCGCAGGCTGACGCTCTATCCACTGAGCCAAACCGGTTAGGGCATGGCTTTACAATTTTTAGGTGGCATTGATGCTATACCCTTTGTAAACATCTTTTGTTTAGTCTATCCATATATACTTTGTGCCCACAGGAAGTCAAAACTGCGAATGAACAACTTTGCTCCAGGTCTAGCGAAAAGTATAAAAGGTCAATTTTTTTATGTCTATAATAGATCCACATTAGAAGTAAGTAAGTAGGAAAAACCAAGTGAGAGGGAGAACTTAGGAATCTGAAAGTTTTCCCGGTTCTCAAATACAATTTGATTATTTTAGATTAACTTGGAGAACATCACATGAACTGTGGTCAGTTTTAAGTATAAATAAGCATTCCAAAGGCAAATTATTATGATATGGGTTTAACCTAGGGACTGGAAAACTATAGGTTGTTACCCATATCTGGCCTGCTTCTAAGAATAAGTTTTACATTTTTAAAGTGATGTTAAAAAGAAATAAACACAAAATGTGGGACACAGACTTACTTTATGTGGCCCACAATACCTAAAATATTTACTAATTGACTTTCTATAATTTATCCCTGATTTAATCTATTAATTTTGGATAAACCTTCAATATTTGGAACTAGATTACATAAAGTCACACAAATGAGAGGTTCAAACCATACTTTTTATTGAGCCAGGTATAACTTTTTGTAACAATTTACTTTTACTTGATGTTTATATTTAAAGTAATAATATTAATTACAACACAATTGACTATCAAGGACAATAAAAGATTAATTTTTCTTATAGTTTATCTTGCCATCTTTCCTAGATAGGTTATCACTGCAACCTTTGACCCTTTCATCACTCTAACTGATATTCCTGTTTCTACAAAATCCAAGCAGTCTTAAACTTATATGAATACTTTAATTTTCTATAATATTTCATAAAAACATACTTTATTACATAATGACTGAGAAGTTGAAATTAGGATAAGCAAGTATTTATTTTTAAGAAAATAAAATTGTGAACATTTTGTTATAAGTAAGTTATTGTAAAATCTTAGGTGTCTTTCAATTTATATATTTTAAACAATTAAATACTCTATTCAAGTAGGAAAAGCTTTTAAGAAGTAAAATATGTAGTATATTTTATTGTCATTAAATTTAAATTAAATAATCTTTTTAATTTAGCATCAATATTACTTAGGGAAACATATATGTTAGCTTGTCTAGATAAAAGTATAATAGCTAGAAAACATTTTAAATAAATTTAATCCTCTTAGGAGAAGAATTTATTTACCTGAAGGTCATTTTGAGGATTCCAATCAGAGTCAAAAATTATACATGTATCAGCAGCAGTTAAGTTGATGCCCAGCCCACCAGCTCGGGTACACAGCAGGAAAACAAATCGATCTGAGTCAGGCTTACTAAATCGATCTATAGCAGCTTGTCGAAGATTTCCTCTGACTCTGCCATCAATTCGCTCATATAAATATCTATCAAATGAAAGGCAATAAATTTAAATAGAGGGATATAATGAAAATGAAGACACATGTCAAGTCTGTTTTCCTGCAACTTAACAAGCAATTATTACCCTAGTTGGAGTTTTACATTCTCTGTATTGAAACTAAGAATGAAATACAAAGTAATATAAAGATAGAAAAATATCTGCTTTCCTGGTTTATAGGTAACATACTATTATAACGAATATCATTTTTAGAAGCTGGAATGGAAAAATAGTCCAATGAAGCCTACTTTGCTGATCTCATTATAATAAATGACTTTTTTGTATACGAAGCAAATACTTTCATATAACTTTATAGAAGAAGCCTACAGACATTTCTCTGTGTCAATCATGTTAGTCTCTAAACTATACATCTAGCAAGCACAACCTAGAATGCTGTTTTCTCATAGGCAGTATTTACAAGCTATTGACTTTTAACTTCCTTTATCCTTCATCTATAATAATAAAAGCATAATATGCTAATTAGACCAGACGTCCTTCCGGATGACCTTCCAGACAAAGCTGGGGCTGCAAGGGAAGCCCAGGTCCCAGGTGCCAGAGGGAAGCCGGTGCAGGCAGCCCGGGGAAGGAAGGCCTACTCTTGCACAAATTTCGTGCAAGATTGGAGTGCGTAGGGGGGCGATCAGGGGCAGGGCTGGTAGGGGGGAGGGGCCAAGGGCAGTTGGTCAGCTGGGGGGAGGGGCCACGGGAGGTTGGCCAGCCGGCCCCGATTGGGGCGGCTGGTGGGAGGTTCAGATCAGGGCCATCAGGGCCAGCCGGCTGGGGAGAGTGGCCTCTGGACGTTCGGCTGGCCGGGGGGTAGGGACCGCGGGAGGCTGGCTGTGGGAGCGCACTGACCACCGGTGGGCAGCTCCTGTGTTGAGCGTCTGTCCCCTGGTGGTCAGTGTGTGTCATAGCGACTGGTCAACCAGTTGTTTGGTCACTTAGGCTTTTACATATATAGATGTTGATATCTGATTAGACCACCAATGCACTGATATTCTATATAATAAAAGGCTAAAATGCAAATTGACCAAACTGCAGAACGACCAGTTGCTATGATGTGCACTGACAACCAGGAGGTAGACGCTCAATGTAGGAGCTGCCCCCTGGTGGTCACTGCGCTCCCACAGTGGGAGCACCACTCAGACAGAAACTGGGCTCACGGCTGGTGAGTGCAGCGGTGGTGGCGGGAGCCTCTCCCACCTCCACTGCAGTGCTAAGGATGTCCAACTGACAGCTTAGGTGGGGAGGGGGCCTAAGCCATCAGTCAGACATCCCCTGAGGGCTCCCGGATTGTGAGAGGGTGCAGGCTGGGCTGAGGAGACGACACTCCCCGCCCCCCCTCCCAGTGAATGAATTTCGTGCACCGGGCCTCTAGTCCTATATAATTAGGTAGTGCCTAGTCAAAATTTAAGACTAACTGTCAGACACCAAAAACAAAAAACAAAAAACAAACAAACAGAATACAAAACAAAACCCCACATTAAACAAATCAGAAAAGATTAAAGCATGAACAAAGTTTAGACTTGTATGATAGAAGTCAAAGTGCAGCAAGTTCAGGCTCTAATTCTAACAATTAAAGGGTTTGGAAAAGGAGCTTGAATCATTTTTTCCCCCATTTTGAAGACAGTATAAGTCTGTTTGAAATGTCATTACTGCAAATTTTACAAATTAAATAAAATGTATACTAGTAAACCCATTCCTAGGTTGACAAATACCTGTCAGTTTGCAAAGTTTTCTTAGTCTCCTTAGCTCCGCCTACTATTACAAATAAGTAGGTTAGGAAAACACCTGATACATAACCCTAAGCAATCTGTACTCATAGGAATAGATATATTATCTAGATGTGAGTAAAGGTGGGTTATAGTACAGTGCTGCAAAAACCTTAATGACATATATTCAGCATAATTCATAAAATAATTCAGAGGATAATTCTATGCTTTACCTTTTATGTATAAGATAGTCCTCCAGGATGTCAAGGCAGCGTACCATCTGAGAGAAGATGAGCACTTTATGACCTCCTGCTTTCATTTTGGGAAGCAATTTATCAATAAGGACCAATTTACCAGCAGACTGGATCATTGCTTGGAGATGAAAATCAGAAGCAGCTGGATTATATGTATCTCTAAATTCTCCAAGTATTTTCTCCTCAGCACCTGTCAGAGAAATATGAGAGCATCAATGCACAAATGAAGGTAAGACCCAATTGCTTTCATTGTTCCAAAAATCTGAATCAGTGCTCCTCTGTGTTTCTGTAACACACTGAGACTTCTTGGATGGGAGGTGAATTACCAGTACATTTATTAGAATTATTTGTTTGTGGCTAAATCCCCGACCCACACAGGACTAAAATTGTACTGAGGATACGGACAATTTATGAAGTATCTTTTTATCTCCCCAGATACCTGGCAAAATGTCTTATATAAATTTATGCTCATTATGCTTAATAATGTTAATAGGGAAAGAATTAATGAAAATGTAGTCCTGACCTGGGTGAAAATCACATCTTTTCAAACACACTTGTAATAGTTAAACACCAATGTAGCAGGGATCCACCACTGAAAGGTGATCAGAGTAATCTGGTTATATCTATGGGATTCTGATGGCCATCAAAATAAAGAAACAAGGAAAAGTATAGGTCATTGATGAACACTTTCTCCAGTCAGTCTGTATCTGCACTAAAGGCTCTCTGCCTTCCCTCAGCCTGTGTAGTCATCAATCGAGTATGGGGATTGCGAGTGAGTTCCTTAGTAGGCTATGAAATGACTTGTCTTGGATAAAGAAAGATAGGGGGTATATTCCCAGAAATACTGCAAGTGTAAAGACCCAAATGTTGTACAGATAGAATGCAAGACCTTGAAAAGTAACATGAGAGCACCAAAATTTACACATTACCTGGACTGGAAAGATACCAGAAAAAAATATAAATGTGGAGACTAGATGGGTGTTGCTGTGTTTGTGCCTGAGGATGATTAAATTGAAGGAGAAATTCCAGTCCATGTGAAACTGAACACAAGACCTGCTATTACAATCTGACGTGGTAACATGGGACCCTGATTCTGAACCACCCATAATCCCACAGGAGACCAGAGTGCAATTACAGGATCAATGTCTTTTCTTGTAACTGCCAGGACAGCTGCAGCACGCTGTTTTTATTCATGAGCATTTCTTGGAAGAAACAAGGACTTGCGTGTCATTCTTTTTAGCTACCTTTGATAAGATATGGATGGTTACAGCACTTCCTGAGCTCCATCATGGTATTGACCAAGTTAGGTACATTAGTCTGTCCTGCTCCTTTGGATAAAAATGAAAAGTTCTTCTCCAAAATAGCCCGGTAGTATTTCTTTTGAATGTTAGTAAGTTCCACTTCAATGATGGTTTCTTCTTTTGGTGCCAACTTCTTCTCCACATCTTCCTTCAATCGTCTCAACATCATCGGTTTCAGTATAGCCTGAAGTTTCTGCACCTGCATAAAAAAAAGACAAGATATATAACATATGTGTACAGTCAATTACACATATATACACATAACTGCAATGATAAAAGATCTGATGTACTTATTCACAAAGACCAAACGTTTACCTGTTCCTCTGTTTTCAGATCCCCAAATTCTTGCATAAATGTTGGTTCAGAAGGAAACCTTAAAGGTTCTAGAAAGTGAAGAAGACTGAATAGTTCTTCAACTGTGTTTTGGAGAGGCGTGCCTGTCAAAAGCACCTTGTGTTCCTATATAAAGCAAGAATAATTCACATCAACTACCACAATACAAAAATTATATAAAAGTTGACATAGGTTATCAAATATTCAGTGATTGAAAAGCAAATTTTTTTTGACTAACATTATCAAAATACATCTCTACTTATAAATCTCCATTAATTAACTTCTCAATCACTTTTTAAAAACTCTCATTCTCATACCTCACTTCGCACAGTTTTTACTTATTCATGCCTCTAAAAGAAAAGTTCTAAACAATTAAGAAACACATTTTAGATTTTCTCAATGAAACAGGTTTTTTAAGAACAAAGAGAGTATTTGTTTCTTTTGTACTGAACCATTCTTGCTATAGCAATTTGTATACAAAACTGTGCACATTCTTTGAAATTTGGCTGGTCATTTATTTGCCTTAACAAAAGAACAGATTCTCAAATAATTAAGGCTGCACCCCAACAGTGCGAAGTGCTGTTTGGAATATGATTCTAAATTGGAAATGCATTATAAATTAAACACAATAGTAACGGAAGGAAACAGTTTTAATGGTAATAGTACAAATTATTTAAAATTCTATTTGACAATACCTCTAAATTCCTTAGCTAAATGCTTGTATATGCATCTGTACATATGCATTTATGTATCTGTGCATATGCACTAGTAAATAGCCTAGAAAGATACACGTCCAGCTTTAAATCCTGGGTGAGGAGTGGGAGTGGGAGTGGGCATGGAGGGAGAAGTACAATGGGGAACTTTGTTTACTGTATGCAGTTCTGTATATATTATTTCTTTAAGTGCTCATGTACTAATTATGTGATCTTAATTAAATAACAAATTTTTTAAAAGCAAACCACTTTGATTTGAAAGAAGCATACACACTAAGAAAACTTATTAAAAATCCTATTTATTAATTAGTATCTATATATACTAAGCATGTAGAGTCATGTAGGCACTTTATCCCTGTATAATATTATAATGTTGGATAAGGGGCTTTAAAAGAAATTTATGGCTTGAAACTATGATAGTATTTTCTTTTCAATAGTACATTCTACAGAGGTTTCTTTTTTTTTTAATTCTAGAAGTTAATTTCTAAAGCATTTTGAATGAAAAAGCTAAAAAATTTTAAGTCTTAGGAAACAGATGAGATTTTTTCCCTTACTAATATAAAGCAACAAATCAGCACAGATAGAAATCAGATATTATTGTACTCTAAAATGTAAGTTTATAGGATTAGTTCTCTGACTCTATCTGACCTTTTGCTATGTAGCCAAGAAACTGAATTAAGTCATAATAAAGATGCTACTTACCAGATTCATGAGTTTCAGACCTTCTAGAAGTTTACAATTTTTGTTTTTTAACCTATGTGCTTCATCAATGATCACACATCGCCATTCAATTGCATTAAGCTCTGCACATCCTCCAAGAATCATTTCAAAAGTGGTGATGATGGCTTGGAATCTGTAAGCTCCTCGAATGATACGCCCCTAGAAATTTATTATCAAATACAGTAATCTGCTAGAATATCTTGACCATAAATTTTAATTCCCATCACATAGCATAAAAATACATCTAAGGACATCTGGTATAAACTATTTTCCACTGAAATTTTTATATACATATATTCATAGACATTCCCTTAAATGAGGAGTTTTAGTATTAAAACTGTTAATAGTCCTAGCTGGTTTGGCTTAGTGGATAAAGTGTTGGCCTGCAGACTGAAGGATTCCAGGTTCAATTATGGTCAAGGGCACATGACCAGATTGAGGGCTCGATCCCCAGTAGGGGGCATGCAGGAGGCAGCCTATCTATGATTTTCTTTCATCATTGGCTATTTCTATTTATCTTTCTCTCCCTTCCTTTCTGAAATCAATAAAAATATATTTTTAAAAAACTGTTAATAGATTGCTATGTTTTTAAGAATGATGTTAAAAATTATGCCAACACAATTACATAATTTATAATTACACCCAAATAAGCATTCCTTGATAAAATGTTTTCTAATTTTTAAGAGTTATAATAATGATTTCAGGACATGTGTGAAGAGACCTGTACACAACCTGGCCACTGAAACTTCAGTATTAATGTGGATTACTTACATCCATGAGTCCACACATAGGATGGCAAAAAGGTAGTTAATATCAAAATTACCAAGTCATTTAGTCAGCAAATATTTATTGAGTGTCTATGTGCCAGACCCTGTTCTAGTTGCTAGAGATATGGCAGTAAACAAGACACATAAATATAATTGTCCCCGTGGAATTTAACATTTTGGTTTTCAAATAGAGGCCATAGCCATTAAGGAACAAAGAAACAACACAACACAACAATAAAAAAAAGCTAAAAATACTAAGTTAGAATATGATAAGGGTTGCGGGTGAGAGGTGACCATTGTAATTTTTAAAATAGTGTGCCTGAGAGGCCATTACTGAGAAGTGACATTTGAGCAAAGTCCTGAAGATGAGGGCAGAAGCCATGTTGATACCTAGAGGTCTAGAGGAAAAAGCGTTTTTGTCGGAAGTAGCAAGTGTGAAGGCCCTGATGCAGGAGGCCCTTTGGCAGTATTCAAACAATAGCAAGAAAGCCGGAGTGGTTGACATCCAATGTGGAGGGAATAAGGATATACAGGGACTTGAATTCTGCAGAAAGGGCTTTGGCTCTTACCGTGAGCAAAGAGCTACTGGAGGATTTTGAGACAAGAAATTTCATGATTTGACATAATTTTAAAAGACTCGCTTTTGGCTGCCATGGTAAAAAGAGTAAAACAACCCAAGGAGAGGATTATATAGACCAGTTAAGAGGCTGTGATATAACTGAAGCAAGAGATACTCATTAGAAGTCATGACAAGTGCTCAATTTTAGATGTGTTTTGAAAACAGAGCTATCGGATATGCTAATGGGCAGTTGTGCAATGACTTAAAGGACTCAAGTTTGACTCTAAAAATTCTTAGCTTGAACACAGAAGTTGGTATTGCTATTTACTACAATGAGGAAATTCAGGATTATGGTTTTGGATATGTTATGCTTGAGACACCTAGTCGATATCCAAGCGGAATAGTTGAATAGGCATTTGGATATGACTCTGGGATTTAGAAAAGAGGTTAGAATTAGTGACATCGTTTTTGAAGTTTCCAGTTGTATAGACGGCATAAATTGTGCGGCTAAATGAAATCTGATGGAGTATAGGCATAAAAGCATGTGAAGACGGAGCCTCATGTTGAGACAGAGAAGATGAGAAGAAACCAGTAAAGGGGACTTCTGAAGGAACAGATGGTGCTATAGGAATAGAATCCAAGTGAAGATAATGTTTAAGTGGGATTGAAAACTATAAACTCTTAGGAATTAGAGAGAAATGAAGGCTTAAGAAACATGTGTTCTGCCAGGATTTTAATTCCTATTAACTTAGATTAATTCATATTGACTACATTCACTGGCCATTAAGTTGAACAATAGCTCCAGTAGAAAATAAATACAACTATAAGTCTATGGTATTTATAAGGCTCAAAAACCTGAAATATGATGTATGCATTGCTTAAGAGTAAGGGCTCTCAAGTATAATTCACTGGGTATGTTATTCCCAGTATGCTCTATGACTTTGGGGGGAAACTAAGTAACTTATTTATACCTCAGTTTGCTCATTTGTAAATGGGAACAATAATATTATTACATATTTAAAGGTTGGCAATGCAAGGATTAAGTTAGAAATTATATGTCAATGGTTTAACATAATGCCTGGCACATGGTAAATACTCAATAAATGTTTGTGATTATTCCTCTCATGGCAATTCAGAAAATTTGAGCATAATTTTATTACTACTGTGATTTCAAGCTATTTAAATAATTTGAAAAAAGCAGATGTTAAATATTCAATTAATTTATATTAAAATATATTTAAAAGTGTAACAAAAGTTGTTTCTATATTTAAAGATCTATTTATCTCATTACATGAGAAATCTTTATCTTTTGAAATTTAAAACCCTTGATATTTTTCTAGAATGTATAAAATTATCATAAAAATATAACACTTAATACATCATATCATGTTTATAATACATGAAGAATCTTTCAGTTTTTTGGCTATCATATTAATACCAAACTCATGACACATTAAAATTGTGATGTTATTAAAAATCTCTTATAGTCAAAATATGTTAATTGCACCTTCTCTAAAAAAATTCAATTGAACTTATTTCTATGATGCCATACAGCACTAAAATTCTACAAATGTATGATTAAGAATTTTAAAACATGACAGAAGAAAATCAAACTATAACCTAACAGAAATGTCATAGGCTCCAAAGGTACAAAGGTAAGTTTTCCATAGAACTGAATAATAATTAAAGGACTTTGTAGATGCTTAATTTCATAGAAATGTAAAGTACAAGGGAAAATGAGGTTAAAGGAATTAATCAATTCATTAATTTTCAGCCTCAAAAAGTAGAAAATCAGTTAAAATTGGGAGGTAGAAATACAATGTTATATATATTACCTTATTTTAACATAAATTACATCACATGATTTGGCCATAAATTATAATGATCCTTATAAAAAGAAGAATCAGTGAAAGAAAAATAAAACATCATGATGCTGATGAAGTAGAGCTAGAGTGCCAAATTCCAATTAAAAAGTACAATTTCATGTGAATTGTGTGTTGTTGTTTTTTCATTTTGTTTCTTATTTCTTAATAAAGTTTTTATCTAAAAATAGTTGTATTACTACTCAAAACTTCAACTTGGCACTTTATATTTTCAAGTATTAGTTTTCTGCTAGGAATTTTTAAAAAAAATATTTTGATTTTTTACAGAGAGGAAGGGAGAGGGATAGAGTTAGAAACATCGATGAGAGAGAAACATTGATCAGCTGCCTCCTGCACACCCCCTACTGGGGATGTGCCTGCAACCAAGGTACATGCCCTTGACTGGAATCGAACCTGGGACCCTTCAGTCCGCAGGCTGACGCTCTATCCACTGAGCCAAACCAGGTAGGGCTCTGGTAGCAAATTCTTTCTTATAATGTCATCTCTTAAATTTTATGACCTATGTATATAGCCAAAAAAATAAATAAAATGGAAAATGTGCTTATAAGATAGAGCGGAGAAGAAAGCCATAAAATCCCCAGAGTATTAGAATAACCAATCCGAAGGGGGAAAACTTATAGAGGTATGCTTAAACTGTATATATAACCAAAATTGTTAAAACTTGATTTGAGAGAGAGGAGGGGGGAAGAGGAAAAAAGGGAGGAAGGGAGGTAGAGAGTGAAAAAGAGAGAGAGAGAGAAACATCGATTTGTTGTTCCACTATTTATGCATTCATTGGTTAATTCCTGTATGTACCCTGACCAGAGATCAAACCAACAAACCTTGGCATATTGGGATGACACTCAAACCAAATGATCTACCTGGCCAGGGTCAACAAACCAAATTTTTAAAAATGTCTAAATCAAAATCCAATGAACACAAAAAAGAACCTATTTGAGATTTCACATCAATAGGCTTTTAAATTCATGGTATTCACTGAAGATTTAAATTTTTAAAATGAGAAGAAAAAAACACACTGGAGGATTATCAAAGAGACCTTTATAATTCTAAACTTAATGTATACTTTAAACATTTAGTAAAACCATTTAGTTTAAAAATTAGAGATATAGATTTGTACATTTGTATAAATAAGAATACTTCTTCATAATAAATTAGAGCACAAACGGAACTACTTTAGTCATTGTTCTCTTTTGCTACTAATATTTATTATAAAATATATGATGAATAAAGAGACTGAAGAGCTAAATAGGCAATTAAAATCCATCCTAAATTTGAATGTAATGAATATGCAATGCTTATCATGTTCCAACCTGAGCATTCAAACAATAAACCAAATGACCGGTAACACACCTGTGAGTCCCTGAAGTACATCTCATACCGCTGTATCATCTGTCTGCTAATCAGGCTCCCATGATAAACCACAACATTAATATCAGTCCACGTACGAAATTCTCTCTCCCAGTTTGCAATAGTAGAAAGTGGAGCAATAATCAGGAAAGGTCCTCTTATACCAGTCAGAAGGATTTCGTAGAGGAATGTAATTGATTGAATTGTTTTGCCAAGACCCATTTCATCTGCTAAAATGCAGTTTCGTCTGAAATAAACAAATATATTATCCAAGTAGACATTGGGTTTTTCTGTATACTACAACGGTTTTAAAGATAAATATACAAAAGTAATCAATGATCAAGTTAAAACGCTCGCATTTATAAAAATGTAAAAGTTGCTGAAGTGCAGAGTAGGTTAAAGATTACAATTTTATTATAACCCTGCAATGAGAAAACATTTTTGTAGCTCCAAAATAAAGATACCACCCGACAGATGTTTTTTTTTAAAGAGTGAAATGGCAAGCGCAAGGCAGACTAAATATTTTATTCAGGAAGCATTTTTTAAATACCTTCTATATCTCAGGGACAGTATGAGAAGATGGGATACAAAAGAAATAGAACATGTTCTCTGCTTCCAGGGGCTTGTATCTATTAGAGAAGCAGACATGCAAATAAACAAATAAGTAGTCATGCAATGTGCTATCACAGAAGAACAAATACAGCACCGGTTTTCAACGCTGGCTGTACATTAAGAGAGCCTACAATGCTTGAAAGAAACCCAGACACCCAGGGCCCTCCCCTATACATTCTGTGAGTCAAGGTGTATGGAACAGAATACAAGCAGCTGTAATTTTTAAATAAACTCCACAGATGATTATGATACGTGACTGGTTAAGAATCGTCAGTATTAAGTTCATTATGAAAGCTCAGAGAAGTAAATGTCCACTTCTGGCTAGAAGACACCCGAGACGAGAAGACTGCTTTGAGAGGGGAGGTCAGTGTTTTGCCAGAGAGCACAGCCAAGGAGCACAGTGGAAAGAACATGGTCCACTGTGGGACCACAAGTTCTATAACTGCGGTTTTGAGAGAAGGGTAAAGGTAGCAGATATTAAGATAAGCAGGAGGCATATATAAAGAAAGTTAGACATTATTCCAATAATTTGAAAAAAATTTAAAAACCTGATGAGGTCAGGTTTTTATTTTGAAGTTTGCTCCAAAGCCACTGCGGATATTAGAAGATGAGATGACTAGAAGTTTGGAAGCTAATTGAAAAAGTCCTGCAATAATGCAGGAAAGAATGGGAGGACACTTGGACTAAGGGAAGAGGGACTCAGAAGAGAACTGATTCCAACGTTAATTATGAGTTAGAATGATTTGGACCTAGTGACCAACCAAGTATACAGGGTGTAGAATGACAGTCAGATTTCTTTCAGTTTGGGTAACTAAATGAATTTCATTATTCTTAACTGAGATATAAAATATGGGAGAATAAATTTGGTATGGAGGAAACAGGGAATAAGATTAATTTTGAATCTGTTGAGTTTAAAGACTCATTGAGAGAGACATTAAGGTAGCAAGAAGTAAAAAGAAATATGGATTTGAAGTTCAAGCCTTACTTAGAGGTAAGTGTGAGATCATTAGTGTTATTGATATGTGAAGGCAGACAGGGGTGCAGAATATGGCTTGGGGGGAATATGGAAGAAGAGAAGAGAGAAAAAGACAGAGTTTTGGGCAAGAAAAATCAACACTGAAAGGGCAGGCAGATGAAAAAAATAAAAAATAAAAAACAGCAAAAACTACTGAAAGGGACAGTCACAGAGGTGCTGGAGGTCTAGCAGAGAGTCATAATGTGGAAGCTTTTGGCAGTGAGAATGGGGGAAAAGTAGCAACTACTATCCAATGCAGCAAAGGCAGCAAATTAAGGCTGAGATGTATGTTGTGGATTGGAAAAGAGTTTCAGAGATGATACAGAATCAAAACCCAGAGAGCAGGTTTCAGGAGAACTGGAGAGGAAGACATGGGAAGAGCTTGCACAGCTTCTCTTCCTAAAAATTCACTCAAGGTAGCTAACAGGAGAAACAGAGCCAAGAGATGTTTTATCCTTTTCTTTAGCATTTTTATATAGGTTAAACCCAAACTGGTTCACAGACTGAAGGACTGACACTGGTTTCAGCGATGGCTTGAAAATAGAAGAGTGAAGGGAGGTCTGAGAAGCCTGGATGAGAAGCATGTCAAGAATTGAGGTGGTAGCATCAGTCTTGGTCCTGGGGCAGGACCTGGTAACTTCTGATACATGCAGGTAGAAGTAAGAATAGCCATGGATGGAGGTACATTTGTAGGCTTGCGTGGCAAACGAGGATTTGAATGAGTTTACTTACTGGCTGGCCCTACACTTCTCTATGAAGCACTCACATACAGAGAGTAAAGGGGGCAGGGTTGTGATAAAAGTCTTAAGTGGTTTGTGTTTAAAACAAGCAATTTAGATCATGGGAAAGGGTATGGACAAGGGAAGAATAGTAAAAAACATTTTACTATTTTATCTGGAAGGTTCTCTTGAGGAATATGATAAATATGCATAAAATATAAACCAGGGGGAAAAGGGCATTGCATGATCTTCATCAACTGAGTCTTATGACTCACCATTACCAAGTGTAACCTCTCGGAAGAATCATGTGAGAAGTAAAAGCCAAAAAGATCATTCTGAATCAAATTTTGATACTGTTACTACTAACAATGCTTTCATCTGCTCCTTTGTATACACTATTATACATTTCTCTCAATCACGGTACTATTTTTACTTATTTGTAATTATCTTTTCATCTCAATTTAAAAAGTGAGATAATGTTCAATAAAGCATTTTGAACAACTTCAACAGTAGTATAGGCTAATAAGTTGAAAAACATTCCCTAACAGATGTTTTATGTTAAGAAACATATTTTAAATTTGATTACTAATCAAGGTATCAACTGTATTCTACTCTGATTGATATATATTTAAAGAAAGCAATTGTAGTCAAAATCCTAAATTATAAATTAAATTATCTTCTTGAGGTAACTTTACTTTTAATAATGAAGACTCAATAATAATAATACATCAGTACCAATTTTACTTAACATATTTTCACACATATAAAAAAAATTAAATTTTTTCTGCTAAGATGTACTACATACCTATTGTACCAATTGAACAAAAGCCAGTTGAGTCCTTCCAGTTGATATTCCCTGAGTTGATTACCATTTTTATAGTCCCTGGATTGATCTATTTTTTTCCAAATATTAGAGGGAGGACGTTCCTTAGAGGAAAAACAAAGAATGAATGATATATCTGAGATTTTTTCATTTCCCTACATCTCATAGACAATAGTAGAAAATCAGTAACTCCACTTAGAGCTGAAACTGGTATTCATATTTTTATAAATGACCCGAGAGAAAGAGTAGTATGAAAATTTAAAATTCACAGATGAGGTAGACACATTCAAAACTTTTCAAGAGAGAACTGCGGAAGGAAATACTCATCAAAATGTTAGATACACATTTGCTCTGGCCAAAGAATTACAATTTTGGTTTGTCTTACATGAACTTGTACAGGGGCTCACTGTTCAATGTAGCACTGTTTATAATAGCAAACACTCAAATATCCACTAATGGAGGAGTAACTAAATTAACATACATATGTAGTACTATGTAGCATTTTTAAATACAGTATTAATTGTATACCCAAGACTAAATTAAAAATTCAAAGATAACATTAAACCACCTGAATAAAGATGTGCTAAGAGTTTATGAAGTTGTGTAATATATGTTCTTACCAAATGTCTTGTGTCAGGTCTTGAAGATTGCAATTGTTCAAACTCTACTATTTTTGCAAGATCTACATCTTCTTTTAGTTCCCAGGTGCTATCTTCATACGGTAATGAGCACCACTTTACTAAGTAGTAAATGACGGGCTGGAAGAAACATTTTTCTATTTTACCATTTTGAAAAAGAATAAATAGCTTAATATATTAACCAACATCAATAAAAACTGATGAAACATTTTTTGTGTTTTTAGATGGTTAACTTTAACACTGAAAAGTTTTAGGACTTTTTACTTAGTTAAAAAACTTTTTGCCAAATATTTACCTCACCAGTATCTTTATCCTCACAAAAAGAGACTTCTAACACTCTGTCTACTTCTACGTAGTCTGGGTTAAATGGTTCTTCTTCCATCTAAAATTTAAAAGTAACAATATTTTTGGGGGGGTAAACAGGGACATCTGTAATACTTTCAACAATAAAGATAAATAAAAATAAATAAAAGTTACAATATTTGACAAAGAAGTGGAAAGATAAAAGTGAAATAAACACAAATATACTAGTTATCCATTATAGAACAAACACATAAGTTTGATTTCAATTAAATTTCCAATTACTGGAATACTTCCATTTTAATTTCCAACAGATATCTAGAAATTTGTCTATATTATGAATCATCATAATCTATATCATAAAACTAACCAAATAGCACTAATAAATAAGGTATTCCAGACTAGGAAGTTACTCCAGAAAACTTCCTTAAAAATTCCCTTAAAGCAGCCTCTGTACCTCTTTTTGCCACTGTCCTCAGCTCCAACAGTTAAAGACCACCCCTGTGGAAAGCGTGTAGGAGGCAGCCAATCAGTGAACCTCATCATTCATATCTCTCTCCCCCCACCCTTCTTCTCTGAAATCAATAAAAATATTTTTTAAATATATGTGGGCATTGTATAATTTTTGCAACTTCATTTTCATTGCTCAAAATAAAGTCTAAAAAAGTTTCAAATTAAAAAGTTTTAAATTTATTTCTTGATCTGAGAGAGAAAGAGAGAGAGAAACATGGATTTGTTGTTCCACTTATTTATGCGTTCATTGAATGCTTCTTGTATGTGTCCTGACTGGAGCGCCAGCCTTGGCATATTGGTATGAACATCTGAGCTACTTGGAGGGCCTAAAAAAATTAGATGAATTTAAAACTGTTCTGAAAAAAAGTCTATTAAAAGAAAAATAATTTAGAGCTGGGAAGGACATCAGACTATTTAGTAAAGCCTAGAAAGGTAAGTGAATTTTTCCAATTATCTGTTCACACATAGAAAGCTGGTATAAAATATATGAAATATATTTCAGGAAAAATCTTATTTTCCACTTATTTGCTATAACACCAGTTCCATTACTTGACTAACTTGTTAAATTCTGAGATGTTAACACACTCACTTTCAACTCTAAGTATTGAAATACATGCTAATTTAACAATACAGGATGTATCTATATTCTGAATTATCAGTGTTCCTGCTTCAAATAGTTTCCAAGCTAAATTTGGGAAAAGAAAAATAGTATATATGGATAGCATTTGTAGTCAACATCAAAGTTTAAGACCTAAGAAATAATATGAATAATACTTAAAATTTTCATAAAAAATACTACATGCTCAGAGTTCAACACATAATAGTCTCATTTATTTATTTTTTCTTACGTCTGCAAAAAAATGTGCTCTTTGTGCTTGTCTCAATTTGAATCGTTTGATTTTCTGCTGGATCCTTTTATCTTTCAAAAGCTGCTGTTCTGTGGCCCATTCACAGTGAAGATAGGAGCTACAATATTTATAAAAGCAACATATTAGAACAATATAGAAAACCTTGCTTTGTTTTGTTTTAAACTTATTTTTAATCATAGTATTCAATGCAAAATGTTATCTTCCACTTTACAAATAGGTAGTTCATTCACCATTTCATTTAATGTCAAGAGCCATGAGATCACAATATCCTAAAAAGATTGTAGTCTAAGGTTTGCAATTTGCTAGTAACAGAATGGTACACTACATCATAGGGTAACAAGATATGATTTATTGTTTATTTCTTCATTGTAATAGTTTTGCCATATCAGAAAGCTAATTCGTTTTGAAGTTAATGTAACCTTATTTAAATCATTTTCTTTCACCAAAGTATAGAAAAAAGCTGAATAAAATTTTGAAAAGCTCAAAAATACAAATATAATAAATAATATTCTATAATTTGTAAAAGTGTATTTTATAGATTCCTGCGTTTTGATATTCGGAAAAAAATTCAATCTTAACATGAAAGGTTGCCTTCTCATTTTTAATGATGTTCAACTTCATGAAATAATAAATAAAACATTTAACATGCAGATAAAATAAATTGAACTTAATATAGTTAAATATATTAATCAACATCTTTCCATTATTTTTCTAACTGAAATACTTACTAATTCTTGTATTTTACAAAAAATTCTTCTGTATCAATCATCACTCCAGGTGATATCTAAGAAAATAAAATCAGTAATTATGACTTTTATTACCAGACCATTGAATATAAAGTATAAAATGTAATGTGCCATCACTTACTTCCTTTTTCACAATTCTTGAAGATAATATTTTGTCCACAATTGCTGCATCTTCTTCACTTGGATTCTCCTGTAGGAAGGATGAAAAATATAATTGCACATTCTGCAAATTCCTTTAGGTTTTACCTTGTATGTTTATGAAAACATGAAAGTTCAACAAATATATATGCAACACCTGTGCCAGGCATCAAGTGTTAGAACTGAAAAAACAGAAAAGTAAATTGTTGTTGTTACTGTCCTCAACCTCATCTATAATATCAAAGAGAACATATTATGCTTTTTTTTCTGTAATAGGCATTATTTTAAGCACTCTGCATATATTAATTTAATTCTTGCAACTACACTGTGAGGTAGACACTATTATCATCTCTGCTTTACAGGTTGGGAAACTCGGGCAGAGAGAAGGTGAGTACTTGCCCACAGTGCCAGATCAGTGAGCTAGCAGATCGTGGTTGCTCACAATCCAGGGCAGAGATTAAAAATTAAACCGAAAGGAAAATTCATATGCAATGACAGAGATGTCAAACAGAGTCTTTGGGCACTATGTTCATAAATCCAGTGGATAGACTGCTTTTAAAGAAGTGGCAAAGGGTAAGGCTAAAACAGCCATACAAAGCATTTCACATGCTGTGTTGAGAAGGCAGTTATTTTTTTAAGACTGGGAAACTGCTAGAATTTTCAGTAGAAATGTACTATAACCAGGCTTCTAACTTAGAAATAGTCTTCAGAAAAGACAGAGTTTAGAGAAGTTTCAAGAATATATATTTGGGTCCTTGCCGGTTTGGCTCAGTGGATAGAGCGTCAGCCTGCAGACTGAAGAGTCCCAGGTTCCATTCCAGTTGAGGGCACATGCCAACATTGTGGGCTCGATCCCCAGTAGGGGGCGTGCAAGACGCAGCCAATCAATGATTCTCTCTCTTTATTGATGTTTCTATCTCTCCCTCTCCTGTCCTCTCTGAATTCAATAAAAATTAAATAAAAATTTAAAAAGATTATATATTTGGGAGGTGTATGAGTCCCAAATTTGAACGATTAAAGGTTCTATTAACTACAATAAAGAATCCAGGAGAAGAAGTTGGAGCAGCTTTTAGGAGAAAACATAATATGTATTTTAAAGAATTTATGTTGGTTTAAAGTGTCTTGTAATCATAACCCTAAATGTATCTTACCACAAATAACTGTAAAGGCTGTTCCCCCGGTAAAGGAGCTGAATTCTTTTTTATTTTCATAGAACCTTTAACCTCTTCCTCAGATTGTTTCCCCTCTCCATCTTCTGCGTACTTTTTCCTTTTAATTTGTCGATTTGATCTTCTTTTCTGTAATGAACCATAAGGGTCATATTTATATGACTTATTTTAAAGAAAAGATTTTAAAATAATTACTTCAGTGTGGCAGTTTTGTACATTGAATTTTCAAAATTGTATGCTACATTAATTTTCCCTCATTTCTCCTTTTTTATCATTTGCCCTTTGCCACAGGCTTACAATCTTCAGATTTATTTCCTAAAGTTTCAAATAACAAAGATTAGTAAGACCTTTATTTCTTTTCTTTAGAGATTGTTAAGAATGAAAAGATTTTGTTTTAGTTAGCTGTCACAGCTTGGGCAAAATATATTTTATTAGTAATTAGTAATTATGTTATTACTTTTCTTTAGAAACTATTAAGAAGAGTAAAAGGTATCTGATTTATTTAACTATTTCGCACCTCGGGCAAACATATTTTAAACTACTAATACCTTCGTAGACTTGCCCAAAACCTAAAAATTGCATCAGATGAATATTAAATTAAATAACTAATCAGGGACATAAAACTAGAAGAAGAAATTAAATAATATTTGCCATGAAACTAATGAAGTTGCATTTAAAACAGAATAAAACAAAATAATATAAAATATTTGATAAGAAATATGCAAAATAAAGTAGTAAATCAATGAAATAATTAAATGTATAAATGAAGGAGGAACCAGTGTTTTACTAATTTTACTACCTTTCCTTAAAAATAAAGAACCATCACTATCATAAAAACCGAAATAAACCTACAAAAAAGTATTACATTTAGTAACATAATTTTTAAGTAACCTAAGTAATTTTAAATTAGATATCAAATACACATGGCTTTACTTACCTCCCTAAATATCTAATATTTGGTGTTCCCACTATAAAAACAAACTCACAATGACAAGAAAATCCCAAAGGACTTAGATTTTTTTTTCACCTCCCTAAAATCTCGTGGGTAGAGGTATCTCAGCTAACTGTTCTAGGGCTCAATATTTGGTAAATCTATCCATTCTTCCTTTTTCTATTCCATTTTCTTTTGCATACTGAGTAACTCCCATGATACTCCTCCTAAAATCTAACCAGCAAATAACTCATGTGTTTTCCTTTTGATTTCTGACAATGTCTTCAATTTGGTAGGTCTTTCATATTCCCAGAGCCATGACAAAAATGGCTGGATCATGAGCAGAGCAGGGACAAACTTATCTACATCCAGAAGGCTGCAGTGGCCTTGAACGTGCCTCTGCCTCTTTCTCCTGAGACTAGTGCTATATTTAGAGAAAGAGCAACCAACATGTTGATTTAGCTCAGCCAAATGCAGTAGACAATTCCAGGCCACCATCTCCTGGCCAAGAGGACATTTACATTTCAAAACTCAGGGTGCCTCTTTTGTTAATATTAGAGACAGGAAGGTGGCACATAAAAATTATAAAAGAACTTCTACAAACTCAATTTTCCCACATGCTGTTGTGAAAGATATGAAATATTATCCCCTGGTGGGGGGAAATCCTAAGGATCTCTAATTTAATAGCAGGCTAAAGGAATGTTTCGATTTCTATTATGGGCATCACACAGTTCTTAATGTTCAAGAACAGTTTAAATTAATAACCAACAGCGACATCTATTATTCTAACAATAACATGTACCATCAATGTTATGTCTCACTAGGCACAAATCTTCTAAATAACAAAGTTTGAGAATAATTCAGTATACTTTTAGAAGGTTCTGTTAGGTATTTTCAGCATTAGTTTCCTTTCTAGTCACTTATGCATCTATTAGTACTTTGAAATGCCTCACTTTTAGTCTTTAGTAAACAGTAAATGAGTGACATGAAAGAATCCTCTGAACTAACAAAAGTGCACATTCAGGTAATTCTTCCCAAGACAGAATGAGGGTCACTTATTGTCAAGTGCTCTCTAATCCTATGAAGACTTTGTTAGTCTAAAAGATTTTGTGTGAGTTATAAGATTATAGCTGATTTTATCATAAATTATACTAGGTTATATAGTTACACATTAGGCAAATCCAAACAATGTCTCACTCTCATCAATTATCTTTCTCTGTCATATAATATCTGTACTACTTTTAAAATATAAATACTAATTTGATGTCTACATTTTTGCTAATGTGATTTTTCTGGCTTTCTTCCTCCATAATGGTTTTCAAACCATAATTTGAAATAGTGACAAATTCTTTTTTTTAGATTTTTTTCCAAGCTTTTTTCTTCTTATGTCTTAAGGGCTACAACAGATCAGTCTAGTATTTACAAAAGAGGTCAGGGACATTATGCTTTTAAATGACTAATAAATAGTTCATTATGACAACATATTACTTGTTTCCTATCATAATCCTAATAAAATCTACTCAGGGCTTTTTAAAAAGTTAAATCTAAATATAGTCAGACTACTGAAGTACTCTCTATTGAGATTAAAGATACTAAATTAAATATCATATTTATATTTTTAGATTTCCACCTGACCCCAAACTGTAAACTTAAATTATTTTTCAAGCCTTCAAATCCACTGTGGTTGAAAGCTACATGGACCTCTCCATCATTTATATAATGATACCTTTACATATATCAATAATATAGATTTGTAAGTGTTTATTAGAAAATATTTCCTTCCTTTCCCACTTAATTTTTTTATGTGTGTGTTAAAGTAACACGTATCAAAGCAAACTAACACTATAGTGAAAGGTATGGAAGAAATGTGTGTGTAAACCTATTCTACCATTTCAATGCTTGGTAATTACATAATGGAAAAATGGCCAGCATTATTCTAGTAAAAATTAAAGTAAATTTTCTCATGTTGACTAAGTTAATTATAAGTTTACCTAAGTTAAAGATAACATATGAAGAAAAAGCCAGGCCATGTAATATTAGGAGCTTCAGTCACTGCCCTTACCTCAACTCTTGCAGCAGCCCAGGAGCCTTGAGCCACTACTCTCCCATTGGATAAGAAGCTGCATAAGGAAGAAGAAAGGCCATTCAGGGGCTTTCTGGCCCCATAATTCAACAACTGCCACCACCCCTACGGCCTATAGTTATACTTTAATTATTAGAGAGCAGAGGGTGGCCTGAATTATTATGACCTTCACTATATATTTGTTAACTTCACAAGGTTATTTTAAATATCCACCTATTCCCCCAAAAAAGGGCAAAAAGCACAGTATTTTTGTCTACATCAGGGGATTTTTAATATAAATGTTTATCTTTTTCTTTGACAGAAGCAGAGCAAAGAAATTATATCTAGGAATGATTCCATCCATTTGCTTTATCATTTGTAGGTGATTTTAAAAATTAATATCTCCATCATTAAGTTCATTCAAAAGGACTCTGGAAGTACAGAATATCACTAGATACTTCTCCAGGCTCAAAACCAGCGGGGACTTTGGATTATTACTTAACCTCTCTGGGCTTCAATTTCATTATCTGATAAATGAGGGGTTTGAGAGGACATGTAAGTTTCCCCCCCGGGCCTAACATTCTACGGTAATACTGCTAGGAGCATACTGTAGTCATGCTGTCAGATAAGTTCTGCTATACAATAAAATGTATTTTTACTACTAAGCTACAGTATAAATATCTGCAAAGTAATATTATGCTATCTACATAATTCTACCAGTGCTTCATGTCTCAGAAAACAATTTAATACTCACTTGAGAGTCTTCCTCTTTGCATGCACGCTGTGGCATCTGCTCTGCATCAGATATTTCATCTGAAGACTCATTCTTTCTTTTTTGTTTCTTACCCAATGTAATAATGAGTTTGCTGTTTCAACAGGAAAAGAGTACACAGTAAGATCTTTTTATATTTTTTCATTCTGGGTCAAGTTAAGATTGCCATGATAAGCTTTATGCCATTTTATATCACTTGGATGTTCAACCAAAGATACTAATTATCACGAAACCCACAACATTTTCAACACAAAAACTGAATTCTACTGGAGCAAACACAAATTAATATTTAGTTAATGTGCTTCAAAGCAAGTTGTATCACTTGTTACTTAGGCTCAAGATTATTTTTCATGGGAAAATGTCAGTTCATATAACTGTATTTAGTACTTAAAGTAAGTCATTTATTTTGTTATCTTGTATATATATGTGTGTATGTATATTGATGTTTACACATGCACATGAAATACAAGTGTCTAAAATGAAAATGATTTTTTCATTTCCTGACCCTGATCAAAGGTAGAAGTACAGACCTCCCACATTTCCTTCCTAATTTCTTAATCTGGTTCAACAGATGGAAGGACATGATCCCAAAGTACCATGTTACTCACAAACCATGCTAACTGCTAATCAGGAAAATTCTATTTTAGATAAAACATAAAAAACCCAGAATTTTTCAAAGATTATTTACTAATGTGGGACAACTTGGAGGTTAAAAGCATGAAGTTTGAAATCATACGACCAAAGACTTTAAATGTGATTCCACCGTTTACCTATTAGACAGGGCAAATTATTTGATCTTGTTTGGCCTTCGTTTCCTTGCCTAGAAAATAGGGATATTATAACAGCTAACTCTATTGTTGAGAATTAAGTGGGTAATGCATGTTACCTCTTGACACATAGTAATTTCTCAACTAATGATCACTACATGAAATTATTATAGTCCAGGCATTTTCCTAGGTTCTAGGATTTGAAGAGAAAGTGGACACAGTTCCTAACCTTAAAATATTATTGGAATATGATCACAGTTAAAATGCTAATATAGAACTTAGCACTGGATACCATGTGAATAGAAAGGAAGAACTACTTATGTTTATTGAAGAGTAAAGGATACTTTAGAGAAAAGGTAAAGTCTGAGATTTGAATGATGAAAAGAAGTTCAACAGGTAGTAAAAAAGGCGGTAGGGTACAGTCTACGTAGGGGGATACCACAGAAGAATGAGAATATGCAGTGATAAGATCATGTCTGGAATACACAGAGTACTACAAGGGGAAGAACCAGAGAGATGGTCATCTACAAAGGTCACAGGAGGCCTTGTATGACATGCAAGGAGTCAACATTTTACTTGGAGGCCAGCTTTTATAGGGCAGGAATCTAAAAACAATGTGTCACTGCCTGGCTGGTGTGGCTCATTTGGTTGAATATCATTCTGTGCACCGAGGTCACTAGCTCAATTCTGGTTAGGGCACATGCCAGGGTTTCGGGCTTGATCCCCAGTATAGGGGGGTAGGGAGGTGCAGGAGGCAGCCCATGGGTGTTTCTCTCTCATTGACATTTCTATCTCTCTCTCCCTCTCCCTCTGAAATCAATAAAAAACATAATAATAAAAATAATGTCATGTTCACCACTAACAACAAATGGCACTAAGATAGCTACAAATTAATGCAAAAAAAGAGAAAGTGAAAAATATGAGATTTTAAATGGGTAAGTTCTGGGGATGAAACTATAGTCAACAATACTGCATTGTGTATTTGAAACTTGCTAAGACAGTAAAGCTTAAAAGTTTTCATCACAAGTCACACAAAAATTCATGACTGTGATATGTTACCTAAACTTACTATAGTAATAATTTCAGAATATACACATGTATCAAATCATGTTGTACACCTTAAACTAATACAAAGTTATATGCCAATTATATTTCAATAAAATTGGGGTAAGGAAAGAATTTTAAATAAGAGAGCAATGCAACCAGAAGGAAGTGAAATGCAAGGCACGGAAACCAGTGATAAGGCAAATGACAATTCAAGTGAGTGATGAAGAGTGCAAGATAGGGTCATGGTGATGTGGTGAAAAAGACACAATTTTAAATTTTGGAATCAGAACTGGTAGGATTTGATTACTGACTAGATGTGAAGTGAGAAAAGATTCTAGAATGATATATTTGCAGGTTATTGTGGTATTGGTATAATGATTACCTTCAACAGGATAATGATTAATTCTTGGTAGCTCACCTGCACTCTTCTGGTAAATAAGAGCAAAAACACAATTCATGTTGGAACCAGAAAATAAAAGTACAAAAAGATATTATATAAAAAAAAACACAACATTAAGGAACCAACCAGTTATACTGCATTCCCTCTCACACTTTCATTGGGCTTTTCCTCCCTCTTCAGGTCCCTTTTCCTACTCTGGTTTCCTTTTTAAAATAAAAATCTCCCTGGCAGTTATATCTATTATTAGATAGCACATGATCTTGTTCTTCCTTCTTCTTATCCAGTTCTCAAAAAAGTTGCATATACTGACTGTTTCAGTTTCATGTCTCACACCACTATAATCTAAACTTTATAGACATTATCTCACTTCATGTTCCTACAACTCTGAGAGGTAAAGGTAAATACTAGCTATATATATAAAAGCCTAAGTGACCGTTTGGCTGTTAGCTATGATGCACACTGACCACCAGGGGGCAGACGCTCAACGCACAGACATGGAAACATGGAACAGACTGATGAATCTCATAGGAAAGGAGGGAAGAGGGAGGTCAGGAAGAGATTAACCAAAGATCTTATATGCATATTAGAGGCCCCATGCATGGATTCATGCACCGGTGGGGTCCCTCAGCCTGGCCTGTGGAGATTGGACCGAAACCAGCAGTCCGACATCCCCCAAGGGTCCCGGGTTGTGAGAGGGGGCAGGCCAGGCTGAGGGACCCCACCAGTGCACAAATCCATGCACTGGGCCTCTAGTTATTTTATAAGAAGAGAAAATTGAGGCTTAGAAAAGTCAAATAATTTTTTCAAAGTCACACTGATAGTAAGAATAGAGATAGAAATACCTCACTCCAAAGCCTAAGACTCCTAATGTCTAAGGCAGTGGTTCTCAACCTTCCTAATGCCACAACCCTTTAATACAGTTCCTCATGTTGTGGTGACCCCCAACCATAAAATTATTTTCGTTGCTACTTCATAACTGTAATTTTGCTACTGTTATGAATCGTATCTGATACGCAGGATGTATTCAGGCGACCCCTGTGAAAGGGTCGTTCGACCCCCAAAGGGGTCGTGACCCACAGGTTGAGAACCGCTGCTTTACAGTATTTTCTCAGTGTTGGGTAAGCTAAAGGAATTATGTAAAATACATCTTCTGATACAGTATCTATGTGGCTTTGTTAAAACTCACATCCCAGTGAATAAAAATCTTAATGAAATCAGAAGCAGAGATATTAGCATTTTTTGTATTTATAAATGACTATGAAGAGGTTACACTGTTTCTAGCGGTATGGAATAATTAAATGAAAATTACCAATAAGTGCTGCCAAATCAATCTTGAATACCCATTCATTTGGTAGAAAGTGGTAGGTTAGATGCAATTGTTTCCCATATCTTAGATAAACCTTCACTATATGAATTATCTTAAAAATGTACTTTAAACAAAAAAAGATAATTTTGTTTTCTATATACTGCATTTTCTTTCAATATTATTATATAGATTTGAAATAGTATATTATTTTATAAACTCATTAGTCATTCTTAACCCATGAAAAAATCTTTTTCAAATCCTAACTTTACAAGAGATCAGTCAGATTATAGTAGTTTCCTACTAAATGTGTCAAAGTCTAAAATTTTTACATATGCCCTTTCTGTTCAAAATTGTACATTTCTATGGTAGAAAAAGTTGATTCTAAAATTTGAAGTCATTATTGACTGACATAATTGAGTCAAATACAGACATCTTAAGATTTCAAAACAAGGATTACTTACATAGAACATTGATTTTTGAAAACAATGAAGTAGTATCGATTTATTGTGAGTTCTAAAATGGCATATAGATGATACCTCAAAGGAGAACAAAAATTAGGTTGTTATTGATCAGTAATTCCTAAATGTGTGAGACAGGCTTTATTAGAAGGGTGTCTATTAAAAATACAGATTCCTAGTGAGAAAACACCAGAAAGGCTTAAATTGTGAGACATCCTACAAAATAATTGGTCAGTATGCTTCAAAAATAGAAAATGTCAAAAAAGATGGAAGAATTATCCCAAATTTGAGTAGTGTAAGGAGACATGACAACAAAATAAAATGTAGGATTCTGAACTGGATGGTGACCAAAAAAAACCAGAACTGACAAAATTTGCATGAGGTCTATAAATAAATTAATAGGATTGCATAAGTGTTTATCGCCAGGTTTTGATCACTGTGCCTTGGTTACATATAATGTCAGCATTTGAGGAAGCTAGTTGTAAAGAGCCTAGGGGAGCTCAGAGCTGTCTTTGCAAGTCTGAAATTAGTTAAAAGTAAAAAGTAAAGTTGCCCTAGCCAGTTTGGCTCAGTGGATAGAGCACTGGCCAGTAGACTCAAGGGTCGAAGGGTGGATTCTGGGTCAAAGGCAGGTATCTCGGTTGCAGACTCCATCCCTGGCCCCAGGCGGGTAAATGCGGGAGGCAACCAATTGATGTCTCTCTCACATTGATGTTTCTGTCTTTCCCACTCCCTCCCACTCTCTATAAAAATCAATGGAAAATGTCCTCAGGTGAGGATTAACAATAATAAGAAAAGAAGTAGAGTTGTAGGTCTCAGCCTCAGGATACTGATCTAGTAGGTGGGACCGAAGCATAATTCTAAAAAATCTTTAATGGATTCTCTGATGCTCCACCCAGATTTGGGAACCACTTGCCCAGGACAGTTAGTGCAGAATACTCTAGAAACAAACGTTCAGGATAATAAAACTATTTATAGAACATTTAAAAATATCAAAGTGCTGTTACCTACATCATCTCAATTAATCCTGAGAAAGTCTGAACTAGGCAAGGCAGGTATTGGCAACACTAAACTAGTAGCAAAACTTCAGCTCCAAAAGATGAACTAAACTGACAG